TGGCATGTTTCAATTAATTTTTACGATGCCAGCCCCGGTGTAGCAAATAAGGATGACACTATATGGGTGACAGCCTCCCTCTATTCCAAAAAGTTGTAAAAATTATTTTTATACGTCAGAGAGATTTTTACGAGTCAACACCCATGGATCGGATCGCATTGGATCGCTCTGTGCCATCGTCACTAAAAAGTTCAATTGGAAAATGTGACATTTTTCCATCTTCCCAAGCGCTTCATGCGGCATGCAATGCCTGTCCGCCAGCGGCAATTAAAGGTTAAACTTGATGGTATTGCATGTCTCAAGGCGGTAATTCAGTGCTTAGGAAAACCTCCTCGTTTGCCGCATTGCTATGATTGCAGTTGCCAGCCGACTTTCGACTTTCTTATGCAATTCGGGGCACAGAATTTAAATTTAAAATTAACTCCGGGCATAAACAAATCAAATGCATGGAAAAAGGGGGGAAAAGCGAGAACTGGAACCTCCCAGAAAGTGCAGACACAAGAGATTATGGTATATTTTTCAAAAGATTTTCATCCGTCTGACAGAACTTTTCCTACAGCCGACAAGTGGCAAAGCACATGTTTTTCCCGCCCGGCTATCTTTCATCCTCTCCCTCCCCCCAAAAAAAAAAGATATGAAATGGAAAGGCATTTCATATTTGGGCCAGCGCAAGATTACGGACAAATAAAAATATTTTTAATGCATTTTGTGTGTAGATATGGGATGCATATAGCAATCGTGCTGGGAGGGTGGTCCAATCCAGCATCGGGGCAATGCCCAGGCCCAGTGCCAACTGCCATTTGCCGGCCTCTCGGAGCTCAATTAAAGTTAATTGAAATTACAAAAGCCCGTCTCGAGATGTTCAAGAGGTTGCGTCAGGGCGGAGCCCAGAAAGAAACAATGTGACGACGCTTTTTACGAGGACAAACCTTTTAAACCACCACTAAACGGACAAAGCAAAGTTAATCAAATAAATATAATTGCTACAAAAACAATAATAATTTTCCTAAAATATGAAGCTTTTTATCGTTTTTCTTTTAAAAGAAAGATTTATATTCCTTTATTTTAATAAAACTGTGGTTTTTGGACTACTACTCATTACTAATCAGTTTAAATTACCCTTGTTGTTATACTCCAATTATATTTTATTTTAAGCTGTGATTTCCCATACGTTGTTAGTTGACATGTCTACATATACACCCATTACTCATGAATATATAAAATAATATTAAAATGTAGGCTAAAAGTTGATACGAATTTGACCGAATATGATTGTACTACCTCTTAACATCTATCGAATAATATTATGAATGGTTAGGAATGCAATTTCTTAGTAAATATGCCAAAGGTATTGGGTTTAATTAAAAGGTAAGACTTAACAACTGCGCACCTTGGCCCACAACTTTGCCATTGTTTTGATGGTTAATATTGTTGTTCAGATAGTTGTTTAGATAGTCATTGTCATTGTTGCTGTTGCTATTGTGGTCCACATATCGCTGCTGCTGCTGTTGCTGTTGCAGTCGCTGCTGTCGCAAATACTGTTGATTGCAGGTGAGACCCGCCGATGTTGTCGTTGTCGCCGGCGGCGATGGCACGCCCTGTGCGAGCAATTGCTGTTGCAGGCGTCGCCGCTGCAGCAATTGCTGCTGCAACAGCTGCAACTGCTGCTGCTGCATGCGCTGGTAGAAGCGAATCTGCTCGAGTTGCTGCGGGGTCACGCCAATGTTGCCGTTGGGCTTGGCCCTCTGACGATGTTGCTGTTGCTGTGGCACATAATAGTTCTCCTTGGAGGAGCTGTTGCTGTCGCAGCCGCTGCTGGTGCTGCTGCTGTTGCTGGTGGCACCGGCAACATGTTCCCAGCAGGCCGAATTGCCGTTGGCATCGTTGTTATTGGTGCTGTTGGTGTTGCTGTTGCCATTGCCGTTGTGCGGGCAATCGATTCCGGCCCTGGAGCAGGCGGCACAGCGTTTGGAAATGTCTACGAATCGCATGATGAACGCTAGCAGCAGCAACAACATCTAGTTGCAAGCGAATGTTGCTGCCGGTTTATTTTTGGCCAGTCCTCTGCGGACCAACGCTGCGTTGAGATGTTGCCAAGTTCTTGGCAGAGTCTTTTACCTTCCCTCACTCTTCTTTATTTTTAGTTATTGGCTCTTTTTTTTAAGCGGTTCAACTCCATTGATTGGTTGCACATTTTGTTTGGATTTCTTTCGGCTTTTGATTTCTGTTTTCTATGCTGCACTTTTCATTTTGATTTCTTCGTAGTTTTGTGCTATTTATAAATGTTGTTTTGCTCGATGCGTAAGTTTTCTCTCTATACGACACATGGACCAAGTTTTATACTGATATATATGTACAAAAATAACCCCAGTGTGTGTTGTGCTCTGCTACACTGTTCAGCGCACAAAAAGTTTTGGGTCTGTTGTGATAAATTCGGTGTGAGAAGCATATAAAAATAATTTACGAGTTTTCTGCAGTAGGCTAGGGACTTTTATGTTTTCCCAAAAACTTTAATGCGGAGTTTCAACGAAAAGCGCCTAAAATTAACCCACTACAATAACAAGATGGCATAAACAAAGGCGGCAGCAGTTGGGCTACTGTTACCATCGCGATTTATGCCTCTGCGGTTTGGGCCAACCTCGAAATGCAATTCCTTTGCCTTGTTACCGCGCCAATTAACTGCAGTCGGGGCTCGTTAGCAAAAGCGTTAGGAGCAAACCCTCAAGGCGCCTAATTTATGGGTATACATTTCCGACAAAAAAAAAATGAAGAAAAAACGGAAATGGCTTTCCCTGTTGAACAGGGCTTTTGCCTTGAAGCTTTGGCCAGGTTCGCAGGTGTCTAAATTTAAAACGCTGGCCGAAAAAACTTCGCCAAGTTCAATATTATTAACTTGTCGTACGACTTTTAGCGAGAATGTGTCATAATGTTTGCTATTGAAATCTATCTAGAGCGCACATGAGCTTGCCAAAAAAATAAACATCCACCTGGTGCTTGGCATAATGAGATTATATGATATATGTGGCATATTTGATGACTGACATCAGCAAAAGAGATTATTTCATTATCTAGCAGAAAAAGCATCTGTAAAAGCCATTGCATTTGTTAGGGTAACGCCCTAAGATGACTACACTTAGAAACCTATTTCAAAATTAAAAATAATTTAAAACACTGAAAAATACCACAAAACTGTAATATTTTTCTACATTTTCAAAATTTTTTCCTTTTCTGAGTGTAACGTTGCAGACAAAGAATCGCAATATGGCAACCACCCACCGGGGAAAGCGCCCCAAAAAGAAACCCTCAGGACTGTGGAGCAATATCGAAAAAGGGAAAGTCTTGGGAACGGGCAGAATACCACCGAGGAGTGCTCAGGCGCACCAAGGACCTGCCTCGGAAAATGCCAAACGGCTTCCCACATCTGGCAATCGGCCAAAAAATATATGGAAACCCACACTCTGCGAAAAGGGGGGTGCTCTCCTATTGGAGCGGCATTTAAGCAGCTCCGATAAACACGGCGGCAACTTGTCCATGGCCACGCTCCAGCTGCCTTGTATTTGCCAACAGCCATGAAGTTCTTGAAACCATCATAAACATTAAGCAAAGAAGCCGACGCACTACGAAAATAATGCGAAAATTGCAGATGCGTTTCGATTTCGCACGCAACTCATTTGGATTTCTCTTTGCACCTTGCAATTACGGCGGGGCAAAAATAAACAGCGCATGTATCTTAATGCGAAAGTACAGTTTTCCCCCAAGTTGGAGCCATTTGGTGTACCTGGGCAGGTTCAATCACATTTTGAACTTTTCCGAAATGTTTATTTAGGTGTTTGCATCCCAGAAAGAGGAATTCCATGGAAAATGACACATTATTTTGGCCCAAAATGGGGAGAAGTGTTTTTGAATTATCCACCAATGAAGAAAACATTTAATTACAATGGTAAATTTTCAATTGGGATTGGTTTACTGAAGATAGCATAGTGTCACACCCTTAAAACTGCCGCATAGGGAAGCCTTCTTCTGCCAACATATAAGTACACACATTGTTCTAGAGAATGAAAACATTTTAGTTTAGTTCAACGTACTTGTTGGCCTACATTGCGCCCAGAAAATGCCAACATAGAAACTCTTTCTGTGGAGTATATACGTTAGGCCCGCCAATTAAATGAGGCAGCCCCAGAAAATGCATCTGCAGATGCGGCTGCATTTGCAGATATAGATAGGGATAGATGTAGCCACATTGTCGATGTTGTTTCTAGTTTGTGGCAATTGTAATTACGAAATCATCAAACGCATGTGTGCATATCGACGCGGAAGTCTTTTGGTTGGCGAAAAGGTCAAAGCTATTTGTGAAGCTGGCTAAATACAGATGCAGATGCAAATGCAAAGATACAGTTGCTACTGACAGGCGACAGGCAGCTTATCAGCTTGTCGAAAACGCTTTGATTTGGCGTAAATAAACACTTTTGGCATGCCAAACTATTTTTAGTTGATAAGATAAGCTATAAAGCGGGTAGAAATGCAACTGACAACCTCAAACCGATTAGATATTTCGGATGATCTCATTTCCTACTGCAGAAAACTCATAAATATTTGTTAAATGCTGGCATTACTTTACCCAAAACGGATTGCGTATTAGATAATCCCAAAAATTGTCGTTGTCAAAGAGAACTTTAGTTCCTTTGTTCGTATCAGACACTAAAAAACAAGCACACACACACAGTCTTTCGGCAACTGATGCACTTAAGATGGCCAATCTAACGAGTATCTTGGAGATAATTCAGTGGGGCTGGGCCCACGCACAATTAAAGCCCTTTAAGTGATTCCACTTTGATTGGGCTGCTGCGTCACACAAAGTATCTCTACGAGTTTATTATTCACACCAGACGAACGAACGAACAAACGTACGACGAACGCGTAAACAAATTAAGCGAAATGTGAAACGAAAAATAAAATATATATGGAAATAATCAAGGCTTTCACAACCGACACGCTGCGCACATTTTCACAGTTGCACCAGCCCAAGGAGACTGACTGAAAATGAAAATACGCGAGCGTACCACGACAATCCGAAATGGGGAAAAAAATAAAAGAGGCGAAGCGACGACTACAAAGCGACGAGGCCTGTGTGTGCGAGTGTATCTGTGAGAGGGCACCTCCCAGAGTATCTTCGGGGTGTATCCGAGTGAAAAGAATGAAAAGCGCCCGAAAACGCACGAAGTAGCGCACGGAACATTATACAATGTGCATCGCAGAGTTAACCCCAAAAAGAAAGAAAGAACTGAAGGGGCTCGAGCGAAAAGTGAAATCGAGAGCGACAAACTTCATGGATACGGGTAATAGCACCATCTGTGGCGCAGCAAGTGCAACCCCTTGGATACCATAGGATTCGATCCGAAAGACACGTTATAGGAATCTTTTTCCAAAAATATATAGAGCAGAAATCGATCTTTTGGAAAGTAATATATTTAAACAAATACTAATCACTAAATTAAAAAACGGAATGGATTGAAAGATTATTATAAAAACAGAATATAAAATCACATGTAAAAGAGCTGATTGCAGTTTCTCATTAGAGAACTGAATACAATCTAAAATGCCATGTTATAAATAATGTAAATTCACAATCTATCAGTAATAACAAGTCATCGTAATTGATTAATGTATGCGATTGTGCTACATTTTAAATGTATCTTATAGCAGAAAATATAAATAAGTATATAGTAAAGTTATTCCAACGACTTTTTTCGGTTTTACCTAATTGGGATCCATCCATCATATTGCCTTGTCATAGATAAGATCCCGTTTGATATGAAACAATTTCTAAATTTGAGAAAACTATTTGTAATATTTTCTCTTTACCCGAATAAATCATAGAGATAAGCACCGGCCATCTGGGAAGTAAATCAACTGCAGATTTTGATTTATTACTGCGACTAATGAAGCTGTTCAAGTGGAAAACCAAGTGCCTACTTTGTCCGGGCAAATAAACATCCCTCCCTCTCTTCGAGGGTGGTAAATAGACCCCGAAGAGCCTGAAGACGAGGCTTCCGGCAGGAAGAAGATCGAGTTCCCCGATAGAAGGCATGTGCACGTGCTGCAACCAAAGCAAACATATGCCCCCTCTTGAAACTCAACACCGAACATAAAACTATATCACAGAATCGGAGTTCGAGGGGGGTTAAAGTACGGGGGCGCGCACAAGTGCTCATTAACAATTACAAACAGACGATCAGTCAGTCGAGCGTACTACATTTTCCAATAAAACTATTATAAATGCGCATAAATTTCCCCCATGAATTTCGAATCGGAGACAAGAGCAAGGCATGAATGGGTTGAATACATTAAGTAATCATCGGCATTCCCAGCACAGACACCCTGTAAATAAATATGTATACCCTCTATCTATTATCAGCTGTTTTGGAAAGCCAACCCAAATGGGTATTAGTGTGCGCTGATTAAATTAACCTCAAACAGACGGCGAATGTTATAAAAGATATACACAAATATCGCTTTCAATAAACAACAATTGGCTTGTTTACATGTGGACACGAAAAAGAGTATATATATTATAAAAAACAAACGCAAAACTTGCAGCTTTGTTTTTTCCGCTACTTTTATTCGTCAATTAATTATTGTCGGCTTCAAAAGCCCAGCGGATGCCAATGTTGTGGGTGTTGAAAGGGGGCAAAGTGGAGATCATAATCCATAAATTAAAATACCAGACACAGCAGCCCCACGATCGCAATGACAGAGAATTGTAATGGAAATTCAGCTGGCGGGGGAAACAGACAAGCCACATAACATGGCATACTTTTAGGTGGATTCCAGAATTTCCCTTCCTTATTGATGGGCTCTGCTTTAGTTCTAATTGAATTTACTTGGTTTTCCACAACTGCAGCCGCTGACTCATCCGCTGATTTCCAAAGTCAAGTATGACAAATCCATTTGCCCCCAACTGCTGATCCAATTGTGGCCCTCGCCAAATTAGCATGAAATAATCCACCCTCGGATATATAAAAGTAGTATGGATATATATATCTTTTGTGCATGGCTTGACCTCCCGCATGAGCGTGTTTTAATGGTCTTGCATAAAAATAAGTTGCCAAAGTAAACAAAAGTGTAGCTCCGCTTTCCTTGCGGTGGGTCCATCACCACGAAGACTGGATGAGATGATGTGGTTGTCGCTCCCCAACACGGGGCTGCACTTTGCTCCCGGCTAAGGGTCATCCTCATCCCATCCCATGCTGCGCGAAAATTCTGCGCACAACCTGAGACGCAAAAAAGAGAAATTCGCACGACCAGGATGAGGAAGCCATAAAAATTTAAATGCCATGCATAAAATATGATAATAATGGCCATTTTCGAGTGCTTAAATACTTTGTAGTATGAAGGTTTAATTATTCAAATTGGTTTATATTATAGTGTCAGTTTGAATTTATAACCAAAATAATAGGTACTAAATAACAATAGTTCCATACTATTTTTAGCACATAGGGACCGGTTCGTTTAACTATTCAAGTAAGCCCTACTAAATACCAATAACACTAGCAACTACGAGATAATTATAATGATATATATATGATATATAATAAAGAACAATGCAATGCGTCACATTTGATTATAGAATATGTCTCAAGTGTATATATCTCGGAAGTTTGAGAAAGCGTAATAATCAATTTAGTGTCAAGATTAGTTAAGCATTTCATCATGGTTATATCAGCAAACTAACGGAATCCGATTAATTTAATTGAGGTTACAGTAAAAGTGTTTACTAGACACTAAGCTGGGGATTTGAGTCAAGAATACTTAATGCATTTTGACTTAAAGATGATAAATGCAATGATAAAATATACAGTTTTAAATAATATTAGCATAGGTTTAACGCTCTACCAACTTCTGCGCAAGTTCAAAATTAATTTTTTTTGTTAAGCTTAATGTCTTTAAAGTTTCAAATTACCGATTGCTTTCACTGCCATTTATCATTCTGCCAACAGCAAAGGCAAATATTATAGAAGCGTGTTTAATGACATATTTAATTTCCTAACAGGCCGTAATTATGTCAGTTCCGCGATGACAAATCTCGAAAGATCGCTGCGAAAAGGGTGCCGCTGCAGAGCGTCACATGTGGCCAACGAGCTAATTAAAGACTGGCGTCGAAAATGGAGGACTCTTTGTTTACTCATCCCCGAAGAACAGACTCGCAGAAAGAGGCTCAGTTTTCAGGGCAAAAACCATCGATGGGGAACCGACACAAAATTGAGATTTACATGCGTTTCGCTAGAAAGCTGGTTCGATTACACAAACCAGCAGGCGAATCGCTTCCTAGTTTGACAACAAACCAGCGGGGAAAAAAAAAACATATTGACAGTTTCACAATCGGCCCAAAATGAAAATGAAACAGATGGGCGGAGACCGGAGAAATGTTGCAACATGGGTTGACAGCCACATGGATGTGTTCCTGTTGGTGTTTTTGATGCTGCTTGCGGTGCAGACCTTGACAACAGCAATATGTCAAATGTCAATTTAGCTCAGATGTGACCAGAAAACAACAAAACCAAAAGCATACCAGACATACTTCACATGCTGAAAGAAATTGCGTCAAGTGAGGTTTTTCTTGTCATAAAGTGAAAGTCGAAATCATGCGTAATTACCGCTCCATAAAATGCGGAATAGTCTACTCGGGCCATAAGATAAAACCGATCGATCAAGTGCGCCGCCACGAGCCGGAGTTTTAAAGACAGGCGACAAAAAACCCAGACCTACGCAGCCACTCGGTGCGTGCAACTATCTATCCATACCATCCACACTATGCCATACACCATACCATCTCTCCTCGCTTGTCAATGGCGTTTAACGCTTGTCTCTGAACAAATTGGTAAGTCTTTCCAATGACAAGACTTACAAAAGAAACAAAAAATGTCCCAGATAAAGATATAATCGAACTTCAAATGCTCTTCGTGCTAAAATACAGTTTAAGGGGTTTTTAATAAGGCCCAACAGATATATTTTTTTAACCCTATATTAAGACTATTTTATAACTTACTTTAACTTTAACAAAATCTTTCGTAATTAAATTTTAGTAAAATAAAACCTATTATTATAAGAAAAACCTCAACTCTAATAATTTTGTTATTAACAATATAGACGCTTATTACACGATCAGTGTTTGTTTTATTTAGCTATTATTTAATTTATCGATGGTCACAAGGTCGGAGCAATAAGCGGTAATATAATATAATTATTTGATCACAGTTGGTGTTTAAAATAAAGCAATATTTCCATTTATAATAATAAATTGCTTTATGGCTACAAAAGTGAATGAAAGGTTGTGGGTTAATCAATTCCGATGTTGGTTGCAAACCACATCCCATCAATTAAAGCCAAGTTAAATACAATTCGTTCCACGCTTAACACACGTCATTAAGAAAACCCATAAATATGCCCCGAGGCTCACTTTCCGTTGAACCTGTTTAACTTGCCCACCATCTTTCCGTGGGTTTGGAGTTGCTTAACGATGTCATTTGCCAATGCATAGATAACTGGCTAAGACAGCACCACCACGAATTGCATGAGAAGAGCCTTGAAATTTACAATAATAAATAACAAAAAAAAACATACAAATTGAATCTGTGTTGCATCGCCGAGTGGCTAAGTTGTTTCACTTGCATAACCAACGAAACTGTCAATGTCAGTTTTCTCCCTGGCAAAAGGAAATATGTTTATGTGAAAGCTTTTTCCATTATCTATGGATGAATAGATTTGTTATGCAGATACGCGTTTAAAGGCACTATGGAAATTCAATCAGAAAATGGATAAAAACCAATGACATTTATGGGGAAATTAAAGTAATCAAATTTATTTACCAATACCTCTTAAAAATTATGGTCTATATAATTTTATTAAAAATCTCTAAAGTGAAAAAAACATCATTGGAAATTAAAATAATCTTTTATTTGAATAAAAAACAAAATTTATAATATACAGGGCTATCACAGTGAACTTCTGGAATACACTAACATTTCGTAACATTACGACCACAATACCCATTTCGTACTAACAATATTTACTCATTGTTCTAACCGGATTCCAATGCCTCCGACGTGTCACTTAAGATCTAATCGGTTAAGTAACACTTCTCAAAACTCCAGACAATTGTAGAGCTTGATTTATGCTTTGGATCGGCGGGAATTAGCATATTCCCATACCATTGAGCAATATTGCATTTGTCTCACGTGCTTGTGACGACGTGACTAAGTGTGCGACGATGCTGATCAGCCGGATCACCACCCCCACCCCCGAACATCCCAGTCATCCACGGATTAGCAATTATTGGCGGCAAACCACCTGTGTGACCGGTGGTGAGTTCCCTCATCGGCTCGCGACCCATCGGCAATTTGGCGGGGGGATTTCTGATGAAATTCAACGATCGCCGGTTACCTAAGCGACTTGGCCAGCGTCTCGTAAATTACCAGCTCGGACCCACAATGAAACCGCTTTGGCACGGGAAATCGCCCATTTGTTTACGTGCGCACCGGCTCGCGATTGGCAAGCCCCCAGGTGATCGAGGTGGGTTGACTGAACCGCCGCAGAGATTCTGGCCCTGACAGAGCCTCCAGAGGCTCCCTGACCTAGAGCAATCCACTATCGCGTTTCTTTATTGATCATCTTTATTGATTTGATTGTGTAGTATGTATGCGTGGATAAGATAGTAAACGACATAAAATTTTGGGCTTAGCTTTAGCATTCTTTCACAGGAGATTGGAAACTTTCAACTTAAGTGCTATTAGGAAATAAAATAAAAGTTTTAGGCGCAGTCCCGCGACTGATAGAACAGTATGTAGCCCGTCTCCGAGGACTTGTGTATGTCCGAGGTCAGACCGTAAAAATCCTCGATAGTGGAGGCCTCAATTTTGTCCACCATATCATCGTCGAATAGAAGCCACAGTCCGTGGCTCTTCACAATGGATATATAATGGCCACGATTTGGTCCGGAACCGCAATGGATGACCACGGCGGTCAGGTCGTAGAGTCTGTCCGGATTCACTGCATCGTCCGAGGTGTTAAAGAGTCGCAGTTCCAGGGAAAGACGACTCGGTGAGAGACCTTGATGTGCCTGTTGAACTGCTCCATGTACTTGAATCGCTTGAGATGCAGAGCCAGAATCATGGGCAGCTTCTTCACCCGCATTCGCTTCTGGGCCTCCTGGTAGCTGCAGCAGTTGTCGCACTTGAACTTGTTGTCCGAGCAAAGGGTCTCCGTGTTGCTAAACACCGCAGGCAGTGCGTAATCGAGGTGTTCTGGTCCACGTCCACCTGCAGATCAAAGAAGTTCTCATCCTTGCTGCTCACCGTCTCGCAGTTGAGGCACCTGGTCTCCGAGGTAAGGATTCCCTGGAAGATCTCGTGCACCCAGGTGGGCTCCGAATTGGCCCCATTGGTCCCTGTTCCATTTCCCGGTATGATGGGTGTTGTGGTCGCCGTCAGACTGCCACTGGCATCTAGGACACTTGTGTTGGCATTCAGTGATCCCGTAGAGTTGCTGCTATTTCCATTCGAGTTCGTGGTCGAATTGGAGTTGGAATTGGAGTTTGACGTTGAGCTGGACTTGCTAGCTATGCTGCTCGCCATGGCACTTGTGGCTCCGCCTGGATTGGATTTAGGATTTCCATTGGTAGGTCCTGCATTTCGCTCGGCCAGAATAATCTCGTTGATGTGGTTGATCAGGAAGTTGAGGAACTCGTGGGCATCCTGTGCATATAGTTGTCGAACTCCTCCTTCTCCTTGCGCAGCCGCGTGATGAACTTCTTGGGCGCAATGGAGCCCACCTTCTTCTTCTGCGTGGCAATGCTGTAGAAGAGATCCGCCAGGCAGGAGAGCAGCGTCTCCTTGGGCCTCTTGTTCTTGGCCTTGTACTCCAGGACCTTCTCGCGAAATGGCTTGCAGAAGTAGAGGGCCTGCAGCACCGAGTTGCTGTAGCAGGTGTTCCCAAAGTTCACCAGCCCGAAGTAGTGCTCGTTGGGCGGGAACAGGTCGGAGCCAATCTCCCGCTCCAGCTGCGATACGTTGGCGCCCATGCCGGCACCAGGAGCTGCAGCGGCACACCGGTATAGAAATGACCACACCGTGGTTGCTTTGATTCAATCGTCCTAGTCCTCGTCGTAGGTTTTTCTATATTCGTTCGTCAGGATCGCGCGGTCTTTTGGTTAGAGCATTTAAGATCTGGCCTACAGAGTTTGCTTTCAATATTAATTTGAAGGGGAGGAGGCGCAAAACACTTTTATACTGTCTGAAAATAAATAATTTTGAAGAGGGGATACACGTGAGTTTGCTTCGCATAACACAAACAACAGAAATTAAAAATATCTTTAATATTTACTTTGCTTTCATCTTTAGTGTTCTTATCTTTTCGATTAGTGTTACTTTATCGCTTTTTGAATATCGATTTGGCGACACTAAAAACTAAGCAAATAATTGTAAAACTAAAATGCGTAAGGAAAAGCAAATGAAGATCTTCAAAGATACAACTCTCATATCCCCTCTCGAAAATTATTTTTAATCTTGGGTGTTTTGCATTTAAATTTATTTTTGTTTTTTTGTAATTTGTTTTGGGAGTTCACTGAGGAAAAAATCATTTTTAAAATCAAGACTTAAAGGTTTAACAAATTTAATGTACCATACAATCTTATATTAGAATAGCATCCACAACTCTTAATTATTTTTCTATTAAATATGGTTTTATCACGAATATTTATATTATATAAATGGTATTTGTGTGGACGTAAATGCGGTGTTAAATTTTGTACAAATATGTTAATTTTAAAATATACAACAAAAGTTTAAAATTTGGATTTAATTCGACCTTTTTTCCTCAGTGCTTAGAATTTAAATAGACAGAATATATTGGAAGAGGTTTCAAAGATGGCCATGACTTTTACTCGAAAACAAAACTTTTACGTTCAATTTTATTGACTTTTCTTTATTAGCTTTCATGGTCGACTTTGAAATTTCGAGAAATATTTACGTGCTTGCATGTAGATAAACTCACGATGATGGAGCACAAATTTTCGGTATATCATCAAAGTATTTTTTTTTGTATGGTGTCCAAGTCGAAGTGTGAATCAAATTTAAATATGCTGAGAATTCTCGTGTAATTCAAAACTCAACATATGCAAACATTGAAGTGAATCAGCAGCACGACAAGCTGTTTTGATTTCATATTAGCAAAGTCGGCTTACAGGGTGAATTGGATCGGACGCCGATGTCTAGACATCGAGATGACGGTTACTGCTAAATATAGTGTCAATTTTATAGACCGTAAGTGGAGAGTTCGGTGATTTTTCTGTGAACCGATAGATGGAAGTTGAATGGGAAAATTCCGCATGCCACGCAACGGCCGGAGCGGCGAGTGCCGGTCGTGTGCCACGGGCGATGCACCCCGCCCCACGATCGCCGAGAATCGTATAAAAGCCAAAGCGCTCGACGCTGCAAACTTACAGTTACGATTACCAGACAGCCGAAGAAACATCAACTAACCAGTCAGAACGAGAGCCGAGCCATCCAGCCAAGCCCCCTAAACTTTGGATTAGCAGATCCCTCACAGCTTATAAGCACTTTTTCGAGGAGCACCAACAACTACAGTAACTGGCGCCCTTGGAAAGAAATCTTCTACAACGTTCATAGGATCAGACCGCGTTGGAGCATCCTTACTCATTCCAGTCTAGCAACATCAATGCCGGCAAAGGAATTAAAACGGAACCAGTAAATAATCTATCAGCCAAGCTGCTGAAGATTTTAGCTTAAGTGTCCTTTTAAGCAAAGAAAAACTTAGTTTCCCGACTGACTATCCTTAAGTGATTACGATTTAAAATGTATTATTATACCTATTCCAACTTTCAATAGCTAAATGGATTTGTTCCTATACACCTACGATTTTAAAAACTGTTATATAACTTAAAAATACATTACTGTCTTGTGATATTAAATATTTCAAGCTAAAATCAATTGTATGGTTTTAATTGGATTACGGGATGTTATTGATGTTACCCCAGTTTTAAGGGGATTTTTCAATCCACTTTTAATAATTACATCTTCGGATAAGTACCAATGTGGATCACACCTAGTTTTGTAACAGAGTCTATGACATAGTGCAATTTTTCTGGCCCACTATCTATGGTAATCGAAGTCAAGTACGAGTTCCTTAGAATTGCCTGAATGTATCAATTATACAAATGATTACCTTTTTGCGACTTATTTTTTTTATATACAACAGGTACATTGGATTATTTATAGAATACAGGAGAATTGAAAGGAGTTCCTGTTAAAATCATTGATTGAATTTGGTTACTAACGTTACAACGCAGTCGAGAAAGTCCCACGCGGGTTTAAGGGAAATTTGTCAATTAATTTTAGATCTATAAATAATAATTATAGATTGTCAATGAATACTGGAAATAGTTTAACTGCGAAATTATCTAACTGGATGGCTGAGTGTTAAAGCACTATGATATGAAATCCATAAATGGTGTAAAATGTAATAATAAAGGTTTTTATTTTTGGTGTAAAACAATAGATTGTAAACATGTTTGGGTCTTTAATTAACTTTTTATACTTAGAGAAAAATATAATTCTGAAAGTATGTAACAGGCAGAAGGAAGCGTTTCCGACCCCACAAAGTATATATATTCTTGATCAGGATCACTAGCCGAGTCGATCTAGCCATGTCCGTCTGTCCGTCTGTCCGTCTGTCCGTCTGTCCGTCTGTCCGTCTGTCCGTCTGTCCGTCTGTCCGTATGAACGCTGAGATCTCGGAAACTATGAGAGTTACAATACTGGGATTAGGCACGCAGATTCCTGAGATTCCTGCGCAGCGCAAGTTTGTTTCAGCACAGTGCCACGCCCACTCTAACGCCCACAAACCGCCCAAAACTGTGGCTCCTACAGTTTTGATGCTAGAATAAAAATTTTAACTGAAATGTATTGTTCTCATCAATACCTATCGATTGACCTAAAAAAAAGTTTGCCACGCCCACTTTAACGCCCACAAACCGCGAAAACCTGTGACGCCCACAATTTTCATGCTAGATAAAAAATTTTAACTGAAATGTATTGGTCTCGTCGATACCTATCGATTGACTACTGGACTGAAATTACCCCATAACTTATGTATTATTGATTTTTCTAACCCCAAACTGGAAATAACTCATTCTATGAGAGTATAAATCAGGTTTTCTTACATAAGAAATATGTTCGAAGAAGGCTGCAATTATAAAGTGTTGCTGAAATAATCAAGCTCCTTCATTATTTGCTAATCTAGAGTTTATGTCACTAATTGATAAAATTTGCATATTGCACACACTTTATTAATAAGAAAGATCGAACTTGACCTTTAAAAAAATAAACAAATCGATACTTAATTATACGTGTTAATAACAATATGAGAAAATGAAAAAATTACAAAATTGAATAGAGAATTTAGTAATATCAGATGACTTACGAATAAGGCAATTGCAATACAAATAAAAACTGAGTTACAACTAAAAATTATGAATTTTAGTAAATTTAAAATGAATGCCCACATTGTGTGCAGGCAAACGTAGTCTAAAAGATTTTTATTTAAGCCAAACTAATAGCCTACAACAAACTACCCTTTTCAAGAGTGTAAAACACGTGCTTCGTTTGTTTACCTTTAGAACAGGCTTTAACACCTTAGTAAGGTTGACTAGTCATAGTCAAACTCGTGAGTCATGACGCGTGCCATCCGAGGGTGGCAACATTACCAAGAAGTAGGGTTGGGCACACTTATCATTTTAATCATTAATATGATACATCAACTTATTCAAATATATTCATAATTCTTATTCAATGAATCAGCTTGAAATACTGGACAAATAAGGGTTAAAATTCTTAGCCCCCGTGAGAAAATCTCATTCACAGGTTTAAATATAGAACAGATCAATGATGCTCAAACTCAAGCCCCTAGTAATAATCTAAAAAAGAATTTCCCAATTCAAACAACGCCCATACAATAGTACCAGATGGTAGCCCCACTATAAAACTATAAGCTGTGCGAACGATCTGTCTACCTGGGTAATTTTATGCATTGCTAACTAGCAGCGCCACGTCGATATAAAACTCACTACCAAGTGGAATTTCATAACAGAACAGAACTGAACATGCAAGCAATTGTAAGTACCGATGACGATCATCTTGAGACCTCCGAGGATAATAATAAATATTTTTAAATTACAGTTCCTATTTTGCACACTCCTTGCATGCATTATTGTCTTGTTGAAGCTAAGTTGGGGTGGTGGAAGTTTGGATACCCAGGACTCAACCACCGCAATTCCCGAGATCAATTGCACAAGGACCCGTACTTATCAACTGAATGGATTAAAGACTCAATAAAGCATAGAGCGAAGGAAAACGATTTGAATACCATCAGCGATCAAGAGCTTGTGAAGTCGAAAGCAAGAATCCAAAAACTTCTATCTGTTCTAAGAAGACAACCTGCAAAGGATATACCAGATAATGTTGGAACCACCAATGAGCCAACTAATGTCGATTTACAACCGTCAATTGTAATCCAGTTCTTGAGGAGAACTGCAATCCAGAATCTATAGAAACAAGACTAAGTGCAACTTTACTAAAAATTCTCGCATAAGTAACTTATTTATATTTTTTATCGGAACCCACTCAAAAGATATATAATTAATCATAGGTTAATAATTTATTAAATACATAACAATACTGAACGTTATTTCGATGTGACTTGATTTGTTTTAATTTATTTAACTCGTGATTGATACACATTTAATAATCTAAAAACGATAATTTGACTCGCTGCAATGTTTTCACACGCCATACAGAGTTCAATCATGAACATCATTAGAGCATTTTATAATTTGACATTTGGAGCAGATTCAATATAAAATAAACTTCTAGCGAGTTTAAGCAACAGTACCATAGTAAAAATGCGATTGATAGTCAGTATTCTAAGGATTCGTCAACTAGTCCAAGAACTAATAATAGTTGGACCCTTTTCATATAATGCTTAGTGTATTTGCATTAAAAACTCTCGTTCAAAAGAATTCCTAGGTTAAAGAAATACTTGAGAAATAAAAATTTAGAATACTGTAGAATAATTTTGTTGATTTTTCGAAATGCCTTAAAGTACGCCTCAATTTGATCTATATGTCTGAGCAAGTTTCTAACTGGTCAATCTAAATGGGAAACTTTTGAATACTATACCACTATGAGCAATAAAAATCAATTGCTTTTAAGCGTTTGTCTCTTAGTAACAGCGTAAAAATTAAATATACTGTAAGGTTTACTTGGATCTGGAAAGAATAAAACTGATACCGAGAAGGATACGGTTTTCTGGCAGCAACATAAATTAAAGAATTTATAAAGTTCAGGTTTTCTTATACATTTGCGTTGATTGATTTTTGCTTAACGCCAAGAAGTATATTTCGAATTCCATCGATCTATTTAATCCCGTTTTTATATATAAGTGGTATACAACGCGTATGTATAAATAAGTAGTCTTGAACTGAGAGCGAGGTCAGTATAAAAGCATCTACCCGAGAATTCTACGTTTAGTAGCAAATCAGACATGAAACTTGTTGTAAGTATTCAGTAAACCTGCAGTCCGTTTTGTGAAATAGTGCTAAAAATGTATCTTATATAGATCGTATTTGTGCTTCTCGGCTGGATCGCCATTGTACACTCTGTTGGCCTAAACCAGGTGGAATCGAAAAAACCCTCATCTAATGAACCAAATAATAAACCGTCGTCTGAGGACGTGAAACCGAGCGTTAAGCAATGTAAACCCGTCGAGACTCCGAGTTCAAAGCCAAATGATCTGACCATTGGTACAATTACTCCTAAAGACGCCAGCACCGAAAGACCAAGTTCTACCGAAATTAATATACCTTTAAAAGGCACTTCCACCCTTGGCCCTATCTTAAAAAAACTTGTACCCTTACCTACTCTTGAACCAAAAGTAACCTCAAGCACGACCAAAGTCAACTTGAAAGACGGAGATAAAAATTTAGATGATTGCGATCCTATTCCCGAGGGTGTGGGATCACGATTGGATGCCCAAACTCTAAGAACACTCGTTACTAAGCACTTACCACAAAGGACATAGTTATGAATACGTTTAAATAAAAAACTCTTTTCTTTATTTTAATAAAATGCATCTGTATAAATACAAAGAAAATTATATCTTGACCTTAATTGATTCCTAGAACGTCATGCTGTGTTTATCATAATCTACCTAACGTTCTAAACCCGTTTTCATATAGATGGGGAAACTATTAAGAGCGAGTTCAGTATAAAACCCACAGCCAGATAGTTTGAGCTTTAGTATAGAATCAAATATGCAACTGAGTGTAAGTACCCAATTAAACGGGATTGCATTGTGAAATAGTGTTAACAAAATTATCTCATATAGATTATACGAGTATTTGTGCTTCTTGGCTTCGCCGCCGTTGTAAATTCATATGGCAAAGGTCAACCGATTTTGATGTCATCAAAAAATCCACAATCTGATGATAACTTTGTTGAGTCTTCGGACAAGGAGGTAACACGGAATTTTAAGCAATGCAAACCCATTGAGACGACGAGTTCGGAGCCAAATGAACAGTCCAGCCGTACAATTGCACCCGAAGACGCCACCTCAAGAAGGATTGTACCTTTACCTACTGTAACCCCCAAACCTATTGAGACTACAAGTTCGGAGCCAAGTAAACTGCCCAGTAGTACAACTAGTCTGGAGGACGCCATTTTAAGAAAGCTTGTTCCTCTGCCAACTCTTGCTCCCAGTTCCACTACAAGTACAACGGAGCTTAATAGTGGAGTATTAAACGAACGGAGGATTGTACCCCTACCAACTCTTGAACAAACTTCCACAGCAAGCCCTTCGGAAATCGTTAGTGGAGAAGATAATAAAAATGTACCCAGCAATGGCCTAAGACGCTTAATACCTTTGTCGACAAGGTTATTTAGAATCTTAAAAGAAAAAGTTGAAGAAAACGTACCCAGCACCATCGCAAAAAAACTTGTACCTTTACCTACTCCTAAACCAACTTCCACCACAAGCACAACCGAAGACAGCTTGGGAAACAGTGACCAAGTTCCGGATGATTGCGAACCCCTTCCCGATGGTTTGGGACCGCGATTGAATGCTCAAACTCTAAAATCACTTGTTAAAACTCAATTGGGCTAGATAAGTTTATTATATAAAAAAACCTTTGATAAAAATTAAATAAATAAAATACCATCTGTACATCTGTACCTTCAAAGAATAATTATATATTGACTTTAATTACTTTTAAAACGTCACACACTGTGTCATAATCTTTCCAACTACCTAAACTCGTTTTTATTTACTATATATCTGAATATGTAATTTTATGCAATTCTAATTAACAGCGGGCTCTATATAAAATGGACTGACAGGGAGTTATGGGTTCAGTATCAGATTAAAAATGCAACCGAGTGTAAGTATCCAAGGAATTTCGTTGCGATATAATAACTACCAATCCGTTTCATATATAGATTATTTTTCTCCTCCTTGGCTGTTTTGCCTTCGCTAATTCTTTTAGCATCGACCTGGGATTTTTAAACCCTTTGCGGATACCTGGAGAATCTGCAGTGGATGCTAACTTATGTAAACCTATAGTGAGAATAAATTCGGAAAGGGATTCCTTTCGACCTAGTAGTATGACTAACAATCCAGAGGACATCACTGCGAGAAGGTTTTTGGTACCCTTACCGACTCTTGCACCATCTTCCACCTCAACCACAACTCGAGTATACGATAAAAATTTACCAAACTCAATGGTTGAGTGTGACCCTCTTCCCATAAGTATTGGACGACAGTTGGGTACACAACTTTTAGGCATATTCCAGCCCTTGGTCTAACCACTTTTGAAGGATACACAAAGGTTTACAATTCTGGTTTGATTAGTTTTCCCCAAGTGTAATGAATCGGGCAATCTAGTTAAACTCAGGATTGCTAAATATCATAATACATTCTATATATAGATTCTACATATTCTCTTTGGCTGGGACTTCTAAGGGAATCAATGAGAAATAATAATGGAAAATTCCCTCTGCTTTTATCAACACCTTAAGACGTCAGCAAAAATCGAAGAAAACGGTTAAGTGCGCAACTTTTAAAAATACTTGTTCAATATCCAATATAACAAATAAAATGTACTAGTCCTTGAAAAACAACATACAAAAACCCCAATCAAAAATTATTGAGATTATGAATGTTTAAAGTTTAGGAAACAACCCCGAAACAAAAAGATTTCCATTATTTTCCAGAGATTTCCCCGAAGCTTTGATGACACAGAAACCCCCAAAGACCAGACGCCCCAATAGAGGCAATTACTGTCAATCAGCATTGCTGGGGGCAATTATTAAATCCAGTCAATAATCGCAAGTCCCAATACCGATGGAAATAGTCACAACACGATCGGAGGAAACCCGTTTGGGGCGATGGCTGACAGCACATCAGAAAAGTCAGAAATATCATAAATATCTCTCTCTATATCTGTCCGAAGAATAAGTGGTGCGGAATCGCCAGATCAAAAACTCTCAGTTGCAATGTTAGAGACCGGTCTAACTAGTTCCGTAGTATAGATTGCAACTACTGAAAGAACTCAAAACAAATAAATATCGTAATCGCATCAGGGATTTCATTCATTCAGTGAATTTCAGCAAGTTGAATTAGAATGATCAGAGTCAATACGGTAAGGAAAAAGCTCTCAAAAAAACACCTGGAGTAAACAAACTAATATCCGACAAATTTTCCAGTGCCTAGTGGTGTTTATATTGTTTGTTCTGTATATCGATCAAATCATGGGTCCACCACAGTGCTCTACGAATTCCAGTGAGTGTTTGATTGACTGTCACTTTGCAAATATTAAAGTACTTGCCCTTCTTATATGTAGCATTAAAGAGGTGTACGGAACACGAGATGAAAAGGGAGAGCTCATGGATAATTCCGAGGAATCTGGCAAGGAACCCGAACTGATCATCACGGGCAAACGCACATCATCAACCCTTTTCAAGGGCATTGAAAAGAACTATGCCTATGTGGAAACGGCCATCTATAAGGCCGACGACAATGGCTACCATGTGAAGTACAACTATTCCTTAATCCCCGTGGAGTTGGACCCACGCCTTAACGGACAAACACTTAAAAGCACCGTTGGTTAAGCGGCCCATCAAGTATTAACTTAGTGACTAAGAAGTAGATGTAGCAATACCACATTATTTATTCCAACTCAATGCAGACGGAAAGTGAAAAGTTCTCGTAGCGCCATTGCAAATAATAAACGGAACTTTGAAAGCAAGTTTGTGGCAAACACTTAATGGATTCCAAGCGGATGACAGTGCAGTAAGTTATGGCTCTGGGTCTTGGCTTTGCCCAAAAGCCCTACTTAGCCAATAAAATTTACGAGTGCAGAAAATATACGTACTTATGAAGGGTTTACAGTTGCGGTCAATATAAAACTGAACGTATAACATTGCATACTTTCAGGCCAGATTTAATGTGATATTAAACCACAAGATATTTTTTGGGCAAACATATTATTTAGATTTTAACTATATATTATATCTTAGATATTTATATTATCAACTATTATTTTGCCCGCAACTGTATGTGATGTATGTGCTAGGAAAGACAATCCCTTACCGTGTGTGAAGTTTCCTTGTTGGCTGTTGTCTGGTGATGATTGCTGGCTGGCAATTTCTAGTCAATTTCCGTGGTAAAAATGTTTTTAGAAATCTAGCTTGAGGAAAAATTCAATCTGCAATTAGAGAAGAAGAGGGGGAATCATTAGAATTACGGCACGAATCAACTAAGTGAACACAAACAAATTTTAATTGTACACTACAACTACAGGATGATGATGAGTCTGCCCCAACCTTGGGCTCGGAAAAGTCATTAGCTCATTAACTATATGAGTACAGACTATATATATAAGAGTCGGGGGCTCTGGAGCAGCTACCTTGAGGGTCAAGTGCGAATACAGCCCACAAAACGCGATTACAAGATGCGGGAGAAAAAGAGAAATAGATGGAAATGAGCACTCAAATTAGAATTTTAGGTCAGTCGCGCAATTGAGAAGCTGAGCAAATTCACTGCATCGGTTAATGAACTAATTAACCAATCAAGTGGTCGACGATAAGCCTCTGTTCCAGTCAAAAATCGACGCTTCTCTCGATTCCCGCTCAGTTTCGTTTCGGCAATCATTCGGATCACACGGCAAAAGTCGCTATAACGCCTTAGATAATGGTCTATCAACCGTTTCGACTCCTGCTGGGAGTCATCTTGCTTTCCATCTGCGTATGTGATGCTTCCCTTCCACATCCTTTGGCCGCAAATTATACCTACGACATCCTGCGACTGGCCAAAGCGGCTCACATTAAGGCTTACATGGGCGAGGATAAAGAGGAGGCATGTTCCAACTTTTACAACTATGCCTGCGCCAATTGGCCACGTTTGCATCCGGCTCGTTTGTCCAGTCAAAGGACCAATTACCTGGAGGAGCTACAGGAACTGTACATCAGGAAAAGCGCTGAGATGCTCAAGAGTGCCACAAGAGGTGCTGAGAACAGTGCCGATCGGCAGTTGAAGAACTTTTATAACTCGTGCCGCCTTCAATCCAATGACACCCGATCCGCATTGGCCACCCTGCAAAATGTGGCTGACTTCCGTGGTGGTTGGCCGGAGATTCGAGTTCCCTCCTGGTATCAGTACGAGTACGATTGGCTGCAGGTGGTGGCCAATCTGAAACGTTCTCTTGGCGTAGACATCTTCATAGGCTTAAGTGTAATTCTCGACTACAAGGAGGAGAAAATGCATCGCTTGAAGATCGGCGCTCCCGAATTTCCCATGTCACGCCGCCACTATTTGGATGACCACTTTGAAGGCACTTTGGAACTCTACGAACGTTCGATCGAGAAGAAGCTACATCTATATTTGTCCAAATAGAGCAGCAGCTGGCCAAGGGATTGCCACACAATGCGGCGCTTACCCTGGAGCAAACCACTCGCCAGAGGACCGCCGCCGAGATGAAGTCCGCCTATGGTAGCTTTGTAGATGTTACCCGCTATTTGCAGCTCATCTTCAACGACAACCTATACATGGATTTGTATGAGACGCCAGAGGATTATCTTTCCAATTTGGTGGATGTGATAAGGGAAACGCCTAAGCTGCAGCTGGCAAACTATACGATGTGGAAGGCTCTGAGGCTTTGGATGCTGCTCGAGTGCCGCCATCCCAGCAACCGGATATTTGGTGTGTCCAACTGGCCCAACAATATTTCCCCCATCAGCTGGAGAGCCTGTTCCATCGCAACTACAATCACATGCAGATGATCAATGAGCTACAGTCGACATGGTCGGATATCAAACGAGTCTTTCGCGAGGATCTGCAGGCATCGGAGCGATTACTCTGGCTTACGTTGGAGACCAGGCAAAAGGCCATCACCAAGCTGGAGTCTTTGAAGCTGCAGTTTCGAACCCACGACGACAACAAGTTGATCCGACAGATGCACGGCCTTAATCTGCACATAGAACGCTTTTACCCGAATTTGGTAGAGGTCCTCAAGTGGAAGACACAACGCGGTTTGGCCAAATTGATGGAGGAACCGGTGGTCGAGGATGAAGTGTATAAGCTGCCGCACTACGAGATCCAGAAAAATCGCATACAGGTGCCGATCACCTTCCTGCAGGCGAGATTCTTCTGGGATCCCGCCTATCCGAATGCATTGAAATATGCCACTTTGGGTGTGCTTCTCGCTCGCCAAATGCTCCATGGATTCGATGGAGTGGGCAGGCGTTACGACTCTTATGGTTATCAAAACAACTGGTGGGACAACACCTCGGAGAGTTCGTATTCCCGCCGCACTCAGTGCTTCCAGGAGCAGTATGCCATCTTTGTGGAGTACAAGGGTAAGCCCGTTCATGATAAGGATCTGCTGCGCCGAATTGTGGCCGATAATGGCGCTTTGGATATCGCCTATCGCGCATATCAGCAATGGTTTAAGAATGCGGCCGAAACTCCGGTTATCTATCAGCGGGAACGACTTCCGCTACTCGATCACGACAACAATCAGCTTTTCTACCTGGGCTATGCGCAGCTGTACTGCACCGATTACCCGGAATCTCTGGAGCACTTCGATGAGCTTCCCGAACAGCTGCGGATCAACACGGCGCTATCCAACTCTCAACCCTTCGCCAATGCCTTCGGTTGCTCCAGGGACGATAAGCTGAACGCCCGCTTCAAGTGCACCCTCTACTGAGAAAATAATATTTGCCATCCACATTTAATAGATTTATACCACCAGTCTACGAAATAAAAGCTTTGATGCACTTTCCATCTTTTGTTTGAGTTTATCGGTAACTTGTTTCTCATGTTACGATATCTATTTCAAGTTTCAAAAACTTTTGGATATTCGACTTATTGGAAGTTCAGGATTGGTGATGGGAAAGCAGATTCGTCAAAAGTTTTAAAATCGTGTTTTTTGTCGGAGCCCAACTAGGCGCCACTTATTATAACTTTAGAACAATTTAATTTTAAAATTTGTACTTTTAAAAGCTTATTAGGAAAATTAATGTTTTTAGGAATGAGTATTATTTTAAAGATCATGTTCAAATTTAAGTTATTTTAGAAATTCGAACGATTTTGAACTTTTAGCTTAATTATTTCGATTTGTAACATCTTTTAAATTCTTTACAAATTTACCTAAAAGAGCATCAAAGAAGACACATCTTAATCTAATTACGCAAGCATTTCTGAGTAAAATATGACTCATATGATTCCAGAGTAACGCACTGTAATGCTTACAACATTCCCATTAGTTTCTGGAAGCAAATCTATTGCTCTGCCCACTTTACTCTCTTGGGGACCGATAACCCCGACTGACCCTTGGTCGTATCAACTCGGATTCTCGGCTGCCTGAATGCGATTGCGAATGGAGAAGGCAGTCGAAAGCTTCACCGAGCTCCGGCAGCATGTCGGACCCGGCTTGGACAACAGTTTTCCTATGGCTCCTCTGGCTGCCACACCTCCAGCAAAATGCTTGGGTCTCTGGCGAGGATTCACCACCACCCTTTCAGCGGATCTACCAATCGGAACAGCCGGTGCGTCGTGCAAAGGCACACGAGATGGGCGGTCATGTGAACACAAGTGTCGATCCCTGTGTGGATTTTTATGCCTATGCCTGTGGCAATTGGAAATCAACTTCCACGCCGAGGGAGCAACTTCAGCAGCAACGGACGAGAGCTTCTCCTCCTTCTGGAGGAGGCTGTGAGGAGGGAGGACAGCGTCATAGCTCGACAGGCGAAGGAGTTTTTCAAGTCGTGCGTGGCGGCACAGGCTCAACAGAGCCAGCAGCAGCAGCAGTTTCTTAGCGAGTTCATCACCCAGAATGGAGGATTTCCAGCAGTTCCGGGTTCCCAATGGGCGGTGCATCACCACGATACGATTGGCTAAGTGTAGTGGGTCGCCTGAGGCTCCACTATGGAATGGACATCCTCATCGGACTCCGGGTGGGTTATAACTACGGCAATGTGAACGAGAACAGCTTGTATTTGAGCGAACCCAGCACTATAATTCCTCCCGAGTTGTGCACCCGAAATCGTTTGGACATCAGAGACTCCATTTACGAACCCCTAGAGCTTCAAGTGGCTTCCGAACTCAAGTCTTGGCTGGCACTGGGGCACGAGGAATCCGCTCGCCTGGCCGCCGACATCCTCAGCTTCGAGCATGAACTGTGTGGCGGGATGCAAGGTGGTCCCTTTTATCCCTGGGATGGCGAAGACCAACTGTACGTGGCAAATTACAGCCGCAAAACATTGAGTGAGTTCTCAAATGCGTTCGAACTCGATCTGGCATCATATGTGAGGGCCAGCTATGACACGGATGTTTCCAAGCCTATTTACATGGCATCACCGGAATATTTTCGCCAGCTTAAGCGCACTGTGGGTGCTCACAATATCAGCCTGGTGGCCAACTACATTATGTACCGAGCGGTGTCATTCCTGAATTTTCCCCTGGATGATCGCCCACATTTGAGGAAAGGGCAGTGCCTGGAACGAATCAAAGAACTACTTCCGACTGCTTTGGGAGAACTATATGCCCGCCAGTTTGGATCGGAGGATAATATAACAGATCTGAATAACCTGTTTGAAAAACTAAAGACAGCCCTGAGACAGAGTTTGGGTGCAGACTGGTTGGTGGAGGGCAGCCAGCGAGTCGGTCAAGATAAGCTAAGGAACCTCAAGCTTGAGATGTCTGGTTACGAGCGCCCATTGATCCTCAAACTTCAGCTGGAGCGCGGAAACTATTGGCACAATCTCCGCCAGCTGTTGGGTGCGGTTCAATCGCACAGAAATAACCGCCTCTTCGAGGAATTCATGCCAGCTCCCTCGGATCCCGTGGAGGCTTTTGAGGCCAGGGTGCGCCTGCGACCAGTTCAGCGACGTTTGGATATGGGATTGGCCCTGCTGCAGCCTCCAGCCTACGATCTCCACTATGGCCACGCCCTTCGCTATGCCACTCTGGGCGTTAAACTGGCGCAACAGTTGGTAATGGCTTTCGACGATCCCCACTGGTCGGTTGGATTGCTCGAGCGGGACAATTGGGATGGCCAAACAGCCTGGGAGTATCACATTCGAAGTAAGTGCTTTGCCCGCCAGGTGGAACACTATTTGCGATCCAATGAGAGTGCTACCATGCAGTTGATCACGGACAGTGGAGCCCTCAATGTCGCCTTCCGGGCATATCTAACCTGGCTAGGATTCCAAGAGCCAAACAACGACTTCAGTAAGCTGACCAAGGAGACCCTCCGGAACTTAATACACGAACACGGCTCTTTTCTTGTGGCCTATGCCCAGCAGCACTGTAGTCTGGAGGAGATTCGTCCCAGAGATGACCAATGGACACCGGGGGGATTCCTCTACAGCGCACGGCAGAATCATACCTGGACACGTCTGCAGGTGAACGGTCCACTGCGCAATTCAGCGGAATTCGCGAGGGAATTCCGGTGTCCTATTGGCTCTCCCATGAATCCTGCCAGCAAGTGTACTATATACTAAAAATAATTATAATTTGATTATAAACAATACACCAATTCGTTGACATATGAAATATACCCTTATAGAACACTAACTACCCTTACGATTGTTTTTTATGAAAATAAAGAATTACATTGGAATGTTCTACAGCTAACGCTTAGAGTTGTAAAATAAAGCATATCTAGACAGATTGTTTGCTTTATTTAAATACTCTACATTCAATAGAATTGCTGAGACTTCTATACTAAAGATCGGAAATGCTTCCCTGTCTGGAAAGGTTATAAGCCTTCTAGTACTTTAAATTACAACATTCGCTAGATTGATAATGGAAAAACCTTGTCACCGAGCGACTAGTGATATTTTGTTGTCAATGCCAAGATCTCGGCGGCGAGGCCGAGTTTGTTTACTTCTCTCGCGGATTTCAGAGCTCCAATGGGTGCGATAACCCTCAGGGACTGAGAGCGAACTTGACCCAGTTCTCCCAGGTTCAAGCCCCGCCTGGAGATGCTACCGTTCCGTGGCTTATCAAGCCTCCAAACAGCTCAGTCGATTTTTTAACGCCAAGATGAGAGCTACCAGAAGCGCTTGGTTGAGTTTTCTGCTCGAATTCCTGCTTCTCCTTGGGATCCAGCTTTGCGATGTGATTGAGGGCCGACATAACGCCATGAATCGCCTGCAGATGGGTGGAAGCTTCCAGGATCCACGTGAGGAGCATATGGTGCGCCAACAAATGGCAACGAATGTTCAAAAGTACATGAACCTAAGCGTCGATCCCTGTACGGATTTCTTTGAGTACGCCTGTGGCAAGTGGGGTGGTTATCACAAGCGGCAGCTTCGCCCGGGAGAGTTCGCCACAGCCCAGCAGGTGATGGAGTCCAAAATCTCGGACCAATTGCAACACCTACTCACGCAGCCCCTTCAACCACAAAATCATCCGAATGGCTATAGTGGTCCCAGTATGGCGAATGTCCGAAAAGTGAGAGCCTTCTACGAATCCTGCGTGGCCGTGGAAGCAAATGCCCACGAAAGACGTCAATTCCTGATGAAGATTCTTAAGGACAACGGAGGACTGCGCAATGTGCCCAACTCCAATTGGCAGCATAACCGTCAGTGGGTGCAAACTATGGGTGAATTCAGAAGGAACTACGGATTGGAAATACTTCTGGGTTTGGAAATCGATCTGAACCTACAGAATATGCAAGGGAATAGCATATACCTTGGTGAGCCCAAGCTAACCATAATCCCTGCAGAGCACTGCAATGCCTTGGCCACGCTGGGAGCTCAAGTGAAGGATGAGGTCTATGAGCAGGTGCAGCAGCAAGTGACGGACAACATGCGCGATTGGTTTGGCTTGGAAACCGGCGAGGCGGCTCGGTTTGCAGGAGATATAATCCGTTTCGAATTTGAACTTTGTAAGCAAATAGGAGTGCAGGATATTCAAAAGCCCGAGGAGGAGTCTCAACCTCTGGGGCCGGTTCCCATTTACGGAGCACGCTCGCGAACTGGCCAAGAGCGTTTGCGTCGCCAAAATGGAGGAGTGACCCTGGTCGATCTGACCAACGAGATGGGCAATCAGTTGGACTTCAAAATGTTTGTAGAGGTCACCCTAGAGAGTCGGTATCCAGAAAAAGTCTACCTCCGCTCCCCGGAATACTTAAAACATTTGGTCAAGACTGTTAGAGGCAACAACCGCATCACCGTTGGTGGCTACATTATGTACCTGGCCCTCAACGAACTGAATCAGCCGCCGGAGGCAGCTCCATCGGAACGTGCCCGCCAGTGCGTCCAGGTGACGCAGCGCCTCTTTCCCCAGGTTCTGGGTGAGATGTTCCAGCGTCATGTGCAGCGCGATAATGCCAAACATGATTTGGACGAAATCTTCAACGATGTGATCAAGGCGCTCGAGGAGCAGTTCCGTGTGGAATGGATGGACGAGAATGATCGCAGAGCGGCCAGGACCAGGTCGTCGCAATATCGATTCTCACTGCCGGACTACCAGAGTTTAGATCTTTCCGATTTGCAGTTCCAAAAATCAGAGGACTACTGGCGTCGATTGGAGATCGTTCTCAAATATCAATCTCATCAGCAGTTCGAGCGCCTGAAAGGCAACAGTTTAAATTCGGAAGGAGGGGACCTGGAGGCATTCGAGGTGCGAACTGCCCTATCTCCGCGTCAGCAAATGGTCCTGGTGGGATGGGGTCTGCTGCAGGCTCCCTTCTACAATTACTACTATCCCAGGGCACTGAAATATGCTCTACTGGGCCAACGATTGGCCAGCGCATTGGTTCAGGCCTTCGACGACGAGGGATGGAACCATCATCCACAGGCGACGTCTCAATGGAACGAGCTAACCATGTCTGGCTACCGGAATGTCAGCGAATGCCAGCGGGCTCAGTACAGCAGTTACTTGTACAATGAACCTGGCGAATTTCGCAATGCCACCAGGCTCAGGGAGATCATAGCCGAGGGCAGCGGACTTAACTTGGCCTTTAACGCCTATTTGGCTTGGCTGGAGCAGCAGGATCCCAATATGCGTTTACTGCTGGCCAAGGAAACACTGCCGGAGCTGAATTTCACCAACACGCAGTTGTTCTTCATATACTTCGCACAGACTCGCTGCTGGGCCAAGGATAACCAGGAAGCCATCTTGGAATCGATGCCCCTGATGCAGCACACACCGGAGAGATGGGATGTGAATGGACCGCTGAGCAACTCCGCGGAGTTCGGGCGGGAATTCGGATGTGCCCTGGGCACACCGATGAATAGTGGAGACAAGTGTTTGGTTTACTGATGATGACGAGACGGAAATAAAATACTTGGAAAGTAAGTCAAGAGTGGAATTACTGATTGTAGTGTGGTCCAGTTTTCTTAGGTGGGTATACAACAGCTAGGGACTAGATTTAACAGGCTCATAAAGCTGCCATCGATTGCATTCACTGAGATCTCTTTAAATAGTAAGACCCCTTGTGGTTCTCGCTGCCTCACAGATTTTGTGTCAATCGAAGCTCTTGAACACAGCTCGACGTGTCTACGGCCTGGTCTGGGTTTTAAGCACTCGAGCACGCAGCGCTCAATTCAAACCGATTCAGTAAGAGATACGGCCACTCGTTAATATCCATCCATCGGATGTGGGCAGCTCCCTCGACCTTGAACCGTCTGTCAATTGATTGCCCATGACCATATGAAAGTGAGCCACACGCATTTCCGTTTAGTTTAACATGAAGCTTACCTGCAAAGACAAAAGATTTGAAGAGAATTATTAGCTGAGGTTAAATTAAAAAAACAGTACACATACACAGATTAAATTGAGAAAATGTAGTAATCATTTTGTAGATGACGTCGTCTGGCCATTTATTTCAATTAAATAGTTCTATTGCACTTATTAAGCTAACTTACTGATTCACCTTTGCTGATCTCAATTATAAATATGTGCAGCCAAATGTTATGCAATTATTTGACAGAGGTTCTCTATCAAAATACTCTAGTATTATTCTTTTATAAAAGTCCAGCTAAATAATATAGATTTATAGCTTTACAAAATATAAATGGTTCTTTCAACTTGTTTTGATAATTTTATATTTGCAAGACGTGAAAGTTTTTCATGAATGAACCTACACGTTTACTGTTCAGAATCATTTTGCGACCTAATTTTTTACCTCGTGTGCGAGATTTCGCAGTCAAGCATCGCATTGACTTCAAATGGAGCGGAAGTGCACCATGGCCAGTGCATAATATTCTGTAAGCTCTTGGAGCGTATCATCAATTACAGCTATGCAAAAATGGCATACAATTTTTCGTCTCGATGCGTCATGGGAGAAAAAAGTCCATTGCGATAATTAATGGTGGAAGTTTTGTAATCGCTTTAAAGACACGATAAAAAAAGAGAAAACCAAAACCTAATAAAAAAAGAGCCAGCAAAGTCATTTTCAATTCACATTCGTAGGAAAAAGATGCCATGGTCTTGGGTATATCATTACGGGGCCCCACGAAACAAATGGGAAAAATGTTCGCACAACGGCCATAAAGTGACGCGGAATTCCATCCAAATGTCTTTTCCCTCTGCAGCCCCCAAAAACACAAGACCCCACGTGGCCCCCGGGCACCTTTAAGTATCTCGCTTCCCCCACAATTATCAGACTTTGGCGAGACAACAGCCATCAAATCGGCATCGTCGGCTCCGTTTGTTGCTGGTTAATCAGCAAAAAGAGAAAGAAATGCAAGAAACGGAAGCTTCGGAAAAGCCAATAACCATAATTACCAGATAATCCATAAAAAATAACGATGCTTAGTAGGCTTTCTGTATGGTAATCAATGGTGTTATTCAACTGTCACCGGTCAACTGCGTTTAGTGGGTTTACTGGTTCTAAAGAATCTTATGAAGAACAACCTAGAAACACCCACACATTTAAGAGGATTTAAAAAAAAGGTGTGGTTCCCTTGGATCCTTTCCGGTTTCTATGTTTCTTTTGAAAGCGGCTTAATGAGGCTTTATTTCCAAGCACAATGGTGGAGATTGTGCATAACTTATGCAACATAATTCCACAATATCATCGCCGGCAAAGACTCTTAAGGGCCATAAATTTGACAACGAAGCCAAAACTTAAATGAAAATGTGAGAAAAATACCGAAAACAGCGGCGGACAGAAACGAAACTAGAAATAAATGCCGCGCACGAGTCAATTTGATTAATCAATTTACAAAGTCCCAATAAATCAGGCGCAAGTATTTAAACAAGACAGACGCTAGGCAAATGACCCAGTTTCCTGCCCCCTATCTATCTTTCTATCTATCTGTTTGCCTGACTGCCTGTGGGTCTTCGAGTGGCATTACCAATCTATGCCAAGTGACTCCAAAAAACAAGCGGCCCAAAGACGCAAACTACTGATTCCCCCAGGCACGTCTGCTTGTTCTTTATAATGTTGAGGAGCTATTCCATATTTCATTCACACATTTTTAACCCAAATTCGAGAATGTCTTTACATTAGTTTTCGAAAAAAACAAATATCAACAGACGAGTGGAAGTACCCTAACTAAGTGGTTCTACACATGTCGTGAGGCATTCCAACAAATTGATCTTGAATGTGGCCAAGAGAATAGACCCAAGAGCGATCGATGAATGGCCAGCAGGTGTGCCAGTGATGGGGAAATTCTTTTCAAGCAAATGAAAACTCTTTGCAGGCAGTAAAAGTGATGATATCCAAGCACTTGACGGCACGAACAGGTTTTGGTATCTTAACCACTTCTCATAGACAGATAAAGGGAGACTCTGAGATCTCATATATCATATGAATCTGGGTGCAAACACTTTTGTAATTTAAAACTGTTTACGCTATGTCAAAGACAACAACAGGCGGGGAGAACGAGAGCGAAGCTTGAGGAACTCACATATCTCGGCACATATTGCTACAGAGTTATTATTATATCTCTGCGGCAACTTCGCATGTGGGCGACGCCTCTGGCTGTCATATATGGCCTCCATTTATTCACAGTGCATATGTACAGGTTATAAATACTTTACATGCGACTTTGGCAAGCCATAAGTAATGAAATTTATTTCCCAGTCAATTGAATTCTTGCTCACAGTAGGTATGGAGCCTAGCTGCGCCCATATTTAGTTTTGTCCAAAACAATTTGTCATTACTCTAAGGCATTACAATTTAAAGCCGACGCAATGGGCTGCAAAATATGAATATGATTATAAATATTTATAATTCAAAAATTCTTGCACATATATAAGAAATTCTTGCCTAACAAGCTTTTGTGACATCATGTTGGAGATATTTTTTTAAATATATGTATGGACTCTAAAACATTTAATATTTCCTTGGGAACATTTAAATTATATTCAAAACTTCTTATCAATAACTTATGTGAGTCAATGCTTTCAAAATGGATGTCTCTTCAATCTCAAGTTCTTAATAACAATATTTTTCTGGCGCAGACAGTAATTTGAGTTACAGAAACTCGATATTCGTATAACAACGGTTTCTCTCAGTGTGGCAAGCAATCAGATTACTACCGAAACTCCATTAATACTGCATACGTGTTTAATTAACAGGAGACATCAGACTGCAATCGATGGGGGTGTTCCAGGGGACTCGAATCCAATAAACAAGGTCCAAATGGGTTGGCTTGCAGAAAGTTCTCCGGCTCAGAGGGTGGTCAATATTCATATCGCGTCGACCGCATGGAACAACCCTCTTCCGCCAGCTGGCAGATGTTGCTTCTATGGCCTTTTGGGTTCCTGCCACCGAAAACTACATCTTGGCGAGTGTGGGCCAGTGACTCAGTTGCGATCCATTTGGGGAGCGGAATCAATTGCACACAGCACGCAAAAGAAAAGTATCTTTCGGGTAAAGGTAGCGTGTCAAGGAAACGGGGCTGGAACACCACCACCCATTGAACACCGCCCACCGCCCACCACCACCCCCCCTGACAATCAGCTGAGAGGCGGAAAGAGAGCAGCGGCCTCTCACTCTCAGAAAATCGATTTTCCAAAACAAATGCAAACTTGTGGCTGCCTTGGCAGATATATTTTCCCAAATAATAACCCATTTACCTTGGCAAAAAGTAAATCTTTGTCGATCCAAGCTGGGAAGTCCATTGTAGAAGTACACAAAGTGACTGTATCCATCATATATGTGTATACATTGCCCTTGTCCCAGCGATAAAAGCGTAAACAATTGATAATTTCTTAAGCACAAAAACACAAAGCGTAGCACTTGGCGACCAGTGATTCAGTTAAACAAAACAGCCACATAAAACTCAATGCACGCATTAAAATTTTATTTGAAATGCACTCTACGCACTGCTGGAAATGTGAATTACAGCCCGGAGAGATGGAGATTTCAGTGGGTTTCATGGGTGTGGTGAGTTTCCCTTAGAGGGCGCGCAGAACCCTTGCTCAGGACTTATCGATTTGGTAATTAGACGCGAGAAGAACGAAACTTAAGCAGCGATTTAGTTTTCTATCGCACTTCAATAAAGAAATCAAGAAAGCAACTATTTGTATGCGTATATACACTCCAAAATTCAATTCCGCAGGGGATACACACGATAAGGCGATTTCCGACCGAACCACGAGTCACTCAGCCAGCGAGCGAAGTGAACGTCGACCGTCGATGTGTGGCGCTGCTTTGTAACTCATTTGGGCGCTCGGCCCGACGCTCTCATCTCACTCCGCCCGTTATGCTGGCGCTGCTGCCCGCGCAGCATAAGTCGGCGGAGGCAGAGGCAGAGGCACTTACCCCAGGCTTCTACAGACAGTGGGCCAACTCTTCCAGTGGCATAAGGCTACCCAACATAGGCCAAAAAAGAGCCTATTCAAGATTCATTTAGAAAAACATCAACATTTTTGAATACAATACGAATTTGGTGCTCAAATTATAAACCATCAAAACGGATGTTCAAAGCAAAACGCAATAACTTAATTACTAAGGCAAATAAGGTGTACAATCCGATTGCTGGTTTTGATAAAGAAACATAAAATCAAATCATTTCAATTCTAGATCAAAACCTCATTTCTTAATCACATTAGAAACAAAAAATATTTAGGAATTATATTTATAATATATTTTAATAATGCATTACCATTAATTGTATCTCAAGATCTTAAGCAGTAAAACATCTCATGAAACATTCAAGTTTAACGATTTTTTGAAGAATTTTGCAAACTATTCTGCATTTGTAAGGTTTATAAGAGATTTTAAGGAATTGGTCTGGATTTGTAGCTTTTTAAGATTTCATTTTCGGTATGAAATGTTTTTTAAACAAAGATATCCAATAAACAATATTTTGTAAAAGTCGCATTAAATCTTAAGAATTCCCACAGTTAGGGTATTCGAAACACAATCCCCGGCGGGCATTCCAGAGAGCGATATTCAGCAAAAGTAGCCGAGTGCCTCTGGAACTCAGTCGGAAAAGTGGAGCACTGTGTTCGTGCTGATAGCCGGATAGCCGACTGCTCCATGACACAGAGCCCATGACTAGATCCGCCGTATTAGCTATGCCGTTGTGTGCGTGCTGATAAGCGGACGGAAAATCGAATCGTGCGCTGGCCGATCAATAACCCAAAAGTAAACAGCCGAGGGAAAACAAAGCCAACTGTCGATCGGTCACGCATGCGCCCGAAACACCGTGAATTAGTACCAATCGTGTTTGGCCCACTGGCAATTGGTTTTGGGGAACTGGTTTCTCTGGGGGGGTTGACATTTCCAAGACGATCCGCATTCTATGCAGATTAGAGCCGCCGCCAAACGCAAGCGATTTTCCAACTGCGCGAGCGCAGGAAACCCGTTTCGTTCCGTTCCCATCCGAGGTTAATGACACAAACAGACATTGCACATTATCTATGCAGTTGCTGTATCAGTTTCAGCCATTAGCTAACAATTGCCAACAGATGAGCTAATGATCTAGTGGCGGTCAGTTGGCAAGCACGCAATATGCTCGTACTACATTATCTACGGACCGCCAGTTTCGAAACATCAAAGAATGCCAAAGAAGCTGACACAGCTGGACATGCGATGCGCAGCGAAATGGGTTTATTTTCTTAGCAGCCAACTTTCAATCATCAACGGAAGAAAGTGTGCACAATTGAATTAACTAGACGGGGAAAATTCTTTAACTTTTTAGGGTATTATCTCTGGAAATCTTATCAAAACGAAGTAAAGCTTTTGAAAATAGCTTGAGTTTGTTGGTGCATCATTTATGTGATAGAAAACGAGTACTGTTTAGTGAATTTATGATCTAGTAATTAGCGTTTTTGTGTTTTTTAAAAATATTAATTTTGAAATTATTTGAAAGTTTAAAAGTCAAAACCCAGAGTTATAAACAGCATGTTTAAATAACTTCCCTTATGGGCTGTTGATCCAACCCTGACGATAACAAATTCAACACACTTCTCAACATAAGAGTTTGCCGCTCTGGAAAAACGATTTTCCAATGCGCAGGCGCTCTTTTGGCCAGGAAATGGAGGAAAAATTGAGAGGGAGAAATTGGGAGCGAGTGCAAAGCATAATGAAAATGTGTTACAGCCACTAGGCTGGCATAAAGGTAAAGAATCTGCATAAACTGCCTATGCCACGTTTTGATGAATCATTTGGTTGGGTTAGGCATGCAACCTCTATGAGGAGTGGGAGTGGGAGTTTGTGGAACTGGGTGGTTTTGGGCGGGGGTTGAGTCATTTGCCTGCCTGCCCAAAGGAGTACATAATTGATGTATGGGCCAGACTGCGTGACTGCGGCTAATGGCAGCTGTTAAAGTTGGCCACGACCAACGGTGGCAGACCAACTGGCAGACGTTCTTGTGTAAACAGCCTGAGACCAGTATCTAAACGTAATCAATACATTAAGAATTTCCAATAACTTCCGGCATTGCCCAAACGAAAAAGGTTGCCCAAAATGGTAATCAATCGAGTCATTAGAGGCGAAGGGTTCCACGCCATTGATATGGAAATGAGTTGTAGTTTTTCTCCCAAGAACCATTGATTGGAAAAGCGTACTCCCAGATAGTCGGGGGCCCCAATCGCATCGATACGTTTGAATGCCCCGAGATTTACGTGTGACTTCAGAGCCGAAAGCTTGATTATGACGATATGTATTTCCATAAACAAAGCAAAGCTTTTGTCAGCGCCAAGCTCGGATTACTGTTTGTGTTTCTTTTTTTGTTTTAAGTATTTCGATATGGTGTTCCAAACGAGTTTAACGAAAAGACCTCAAACATATCAAAGTTATTTCTTAGTCACTGCAAGATACAGAGGTATAGTTGAATTTCCGTGACTTGACATTTGTAGATGCATTTGATTAGTCCATAACTTATCTGTATATATCAAGACATTCTTTAAATATTTTAGGAATGAATCACATAATATTTTTGATTATAAGCTGATAGAATTTGTATTAAACAATATAATTGCTTTTCAATTATTGGTAATTAATATACTAAAGTTGCTTTAAGAGTTTTTAATGCTTTTAATGGTTTACAAAAAGCTCGAAAAGTAATTCAAGGAAATGGTAATTAATATATTAAGGTTTCTTTAAGGGTTTTTAATGCTTTTAATGGTTTACAAAAAGCTCTAAAAGTAATTCAAGGAAATTGATTTATAAATTAAGGGCAAAATGATCAAAAATGATTAAACAACAAAACAAATTGGGTTCTCTGTAATTTTTATGTTTTGTTTGGTTTAAATTTACGGAAGTTTCTGTATAATGCAGAACTAATGCGGAGCACCTCGCTCATGCCTAGCGATAATTATCAAGTTAATAACTCAGCACTAATTAGTCAGGTGGTTTGATGGGCAGGCAGGCGCCGCAGGGGGAAGGGCTGTGCGACCCTAGGTCGCGGACCAAAAAAAAACCCATTATAACGCCGCCAATGTGAAAACGAAAGCGATACGATTTTCGGCGAGGAAAATCCGTCGATGGGAAACCGAAAACCGAAAACTGAAAACTTAAAACCCAGTCGGAATGCGACGGAATGGGAAACTGGAGCTCGAAAGCAATCCGAATGCCAGGCGAATGGGTAAATTAAATCGCAGCATCAGCGGTAGCAAATCAACTTAATGACGACGGCTGGCAACTTTTCCAACTGTTTTTTTTTTCTATTTTATCTGCCGATCGGATCGTGAGGTGAAATGAATTTAAGTTGCCTTTTTTACAACCCACAATAAGGGGCTAAAAATCGATGAGTGCTCAATTAACTGTTATTCGTAGTACGCCCACACATAGACACACACACACATTTATATACACTTGCAAATAAATAACAATGTGTATTACCTTTTTTTAGTTGATTTTTAGTGGCTTTTTGGCAATTGTCTCAACAAAACAACATCATTTCTGCCAAGTGCCACTCCCACTTCAGTTTTTCGTTGCCAAAATTACCATCCGGAATTTCTTCGGGGGATTTATTTGTGTGCCCACCACTGTTTAATACAATTTACTTTTTGCAGTTATGTCAACTTCTCTCTTTCAGCGCGGCGTCCTTTGTTGTTGTTGTTGCAAAATTGTTCGTGTAAATTATGTACAATGGTGGTTGTTTCAGTTGCAGGTGGTCTAAAACACTCGCGTTCGTTGGGTTTACGTGGTTTCGATTGCACTAGGTGCCGCACGCATAACTTGCAAACTGCAAATCGTCGTTTTCGTTGGTAATTTGGCTATTGGTTGGCTTTAAACACGGAGAAAACTTTCGACGTTTCTTGTTGGTTTTCTTATAGTGGTAATAGCGGCCAGTGTGTCCACACGGGCTGGAAAAGTAAAACTCGGGGAACAGTTACCCGCTTAGGGTGACCATTCGGTGTTTATCTGCGAAATGATGTGGGTTTTTGGGAGGCTTTCTTCTAAATGGAGTGGCATGGTCATCCTAAGAAAATAACAGTTAAATCACTGCTTTGCTGGCGAAGTTGCCAGATTAGTTATAGATTTTCTTATTGATTATTATTATTATTAAAAGAAAATCAATAACATTGTACACTTTTATTTAGTTACATTTAACAACATATTCATTTTACTAAACTCTTAATTATTATAATAATTATACATTATTATTAACTATTTCAATGCCTATCGATAATTCGATGAGCACTTGGCAACCCTATTGCTGACGCCGCACTCGTAGCTAAAATTTGTTTACCTTTAAAGAAATGCTAATAAATCATATTTTAATCGCATTATTAGTAAGTTTTGGGAGACAAGGATGTGCAGAAGATGAAGGACTATGCAGTGCCGATCAAAAATCGTGCGTGCAGAGTGAGCCTGAGGATCCAAACCAGGATGAGTGTAAGCAACTTGTTGCCGGCTTTGATTTTACTTGGTTTAATATAAGTCCACTGATTTTAGTTAGCTTCAAGATACGTCGGCAGATCGAGAAAGCTAATGCCGACTATAAGCCCTGCAGCAGCGATCCCAAGGATACCGATTGCTCCTGCCACACGGATGTTCTGAAGCGGGATCTCGCACCCTACAAATCAACAGGTGTCACCCGGCAAATGATCGAAAGTTCGGCGAGATATGGAACCAAATACAAGATTATGAGCACCGATTATACCGGGATGCCAACTGCATGTTCCCAGCCCGTTGCCAGGGCATCGAGCACTTTCTCCTGCCACTGGTGGCGACACTACCCAACATGGATCTCGTGGTTAACACCAGGGATTACCCGCAACTGAATACCGCTTGGGGTAACAGTGCTGGTGGTCCGGTCTTTCCTTTTCAAAGACAAAGGAGTACCGCGACATCATGTATCCCGCATGGACATTTTGGGCTGGAGGACCAGCTACCAAACTGCATCCTCGTGGCATCGGGCGCTGGGATCAGATGCGCGAGAAGCTGGAGAAGCGGGCGGCAGCTATTCCCTGGTCGCAGAAGCGCGATCTGGGCTTCTTTCGCGGGTCCCGCACCTCTGACGAGCGGGACTCTTTAATCCTGCTCTCCCGCCGCAATCCGGAGCTGGTGGAGGCTCAGTACACCAAGAATCAGGGCTGGAAGTCACCCAAGATACACTAGATGCACCGGCCGCTGATGAGGTGTCCTTCGAGGATCACTGCAAATACAAGTACTTGTTTAATTTCCGAGGAGTGGCCGCCAGTTTTCGGCTGAAGCATCTGTTCCTTTGCAAATCTCTGGTCTTCCATGTGGGCGACGAATGGCAGGAGTTCTTCTACGACCAACTGAAGCCATGGGTTCACTATGTGCCGCTAAAGAGCTACCCCAGTCAGCAGGAATACGAGGAAATATTGTCATTCTTCAAGAGAAACGACGCCCTGGCCCAGGAAATTGCTCAGCGAGGATACGACTTCATCTGGCAGCACCTGCGCATGAAGGACATCAAATGCTACTGGCGAAAGCTGCTGAAGAGCTATGTAAAGCTTCTGAACTACGAGGTGAAGCCTGAGGATGATCTAATTTATATTTCACCTAAAAAAGATGAGCTGTAGTGACTAGTAAATTAGTATTAAGTAAACGATTTCTCACCTCTTTATAAAATCATTTAATTTTAAGATACCGCGAATCTCTATGAACTGTCCACATTCCAATTATTTTCTACTTTTAATATTCCTCAAAATTAATATTTATAAAACACATCTATCTTTTATAACTCTTAAAATTTTGAATACGAGTATCAGACATCATTTGTTTCAGGACTCACAGTTTAATTAGGTAAATTTGGAAAAAAAAACATGTAAATTCTTCAAAATTTTAACGATGACACTGCCAAAGAGATGTCTTTTAGTGGGAGCTCTGCTTCTGTTTTGTGTACCGAATGCGTGGTCCGTTCCCAGGACAAATGCACAGCCATCGCGCAGTTTTCAAATTCTAATAGTAAGATAATATCTCCTTTAAAGTAATGCTTTAATAGTTATATCCACCAGTCAGCTACGACTTTGTGCCGCAGATCATAAAGGCGCTGGCGGTCTATCAACCATGTGATCCCGGTGATTTGAAGTGCCTCTGCCATGCCCAGACCATCCAAAAGAACTTGGAGCCGTATGTGGGCAAAGGCATCACACCACAGATGATGGCTCAGTCCAAGCGGTTGGGCACCTTTTACCAGGTGATCCGCGGGCGCATCTATCGCCAGAGAACTGCTCGAATCCCAAGCGATGTACTGACGTGGATGATCTCCTCTTGGACATTGCCGGTGATCTGCCAGATCTAGAAATGGTTCTTAATGTGCTCGACTGGCCACAGGTTCATTTTCTTTCCGGTTTGAGTGGTCCGGTGTTTTCCTACTCTACACGGACAGTCACCTGGACATTATGTACCCTGCGTGGTCGTTCTGGACCACCACGGGTCCCATCCTACAGCATTATCCCCACGGTCTGGGTCGCTGGGACTGGATGCGCCAACTTTTAGCGGCTAGGGCGGCTAAAATTTCCTGGGATGCCAAGCAAGCAAAGGGCTTTTCAGAGGATCTCGTTCTTCGCCGGAGCGGGACAATCTTGTCAGGCTTTCTCTCAGATGTCCAGATTTGGTCGATGCCCAATATACTGGCCACCCCATCGAAGCTAATCCCGCCGAGGAGGTGTTTTTGGTCGAGCACTGCCAGTACAAGTACCTCTTTAACTTCCGGGGCGTGGCCGCCAGTTTCCGACTGCGTCACATCCTGCTCTGCCGCTCGCTGGTGCTCCATGTGGGCGACCAGTGGCAGGAGTTTTTCTACAGCCAACTGAAGCCCTGGGTGCACTACGTTCCCGTGGCCAGCGACGCCGATGTGGAGCAGCTAGCAGAGCTGGTGCTCTATCTGCGCGAGCATGATGATCTGGCCGAGGAGATTGCGGAAAGGGGACAACAATTCGTTTGGCTCCACCTACGAATGGAGGATGTCCAGTGCTACTGGAGCAAGTTGCTCCGGGAATACGCGAAGTTGTTGACTTATAAAGTACATCTGAAGCCGGGCTTACTCGAGGTGTCAAACAAAAGAGCGGTGCAGTTGTATCGCGGGTAATAACATCTAAACGTATTAATAAATTAAAAGCAATATAAGAAAAATAAATAACGGTCGAAAATCAATTTCAAATTTCCAGTGTTTCCACACCCACTCGATTGGGGTTAACTTTGGAATTTTGATGTGTATAAAAAAGTATTTATTGGTGTTCTCTAAGATCTAACCATGAACATGGCTTATTAGTCTTCCCACAGCTAACCTAGACAATTTAGTTAGGTTAAAATGGACAAATTAATTGCAATTTCAATTTCTCCCAACCAGTGTGACCCCTCTACGTTTCACTGCCCATGGTCAATTGTTACGTCACTGGCCAACAGCTGTTCAAAGTTTTTGATTTGCATTCGATAGCATTACATGGGTTCCGCATCATGGCAGCTCAGTTGAATCCCTTCCGCAATGCCTTCCGGCTGCCGGCGAAACAGCGGATCAACTGGTTCCCCGGTCACATGACCAAGGGAATGCGCCAAATCCAGCAAAAGCTCCGAAATGTGGACTGCATTGTGGAAATCCACGATGCACGCATCCCACTGGCGGGCAGGAACTCTCAGTTCTTCGACACAATCACCGGTGGGTAAACAAACCAACTCCATTTAATCTTATCATATAATCGGGAATTTTCTTCCAGGAAGTGGAGTTAAACCGCATATTCTGGTTCTGAACAAAGTCGATCTACTGGGCGCCAAGCAGCAAAAGAATGTGCTTCAGCAACTGCGGAGACAACAGCCCGAACTCCAGCACATCCTGTTCACCAACTGCAAGGATCAGCGGAATCACGGCGTGCTGGACATCCTGCCCTTGGCCACTCGCCTTGTAGGCGAGAGCAGTCGCTTCAATCGCACCCAGGCGGCGGAGCACAATCTTATGATCATTGGGGTGCCCAATGTGGGCAAGAGTTCCGTAATCAATGTCCTGAGGAATGTGCATCTCAAGAAGAAGAGTGCCGCCAGGGTGGGCGCAGAGGCGGGCATCACTCGAGCCGTCGGGGAGCGCATCAAAATCCAAGAGAATCCACCTGTCTACATGATCGACACACCTGGAATCCTACAGCCTTCCATAAAAGACGATGAGATGGGCATGAAGCTGGCCCTGGTGGGCTGCCTCCCAGATCACATTGTGGGTGAGGATCTGATAGCCGACTACCTGCTCTACTGGCTGAACAGTCACCGCAGGTACGATTACGTGGAGAAGCTGAAACTGAGTTCCGGACCCAGTGACAATATCAGCGCTGTGCTGGCCGAGTACTCCCATCGGGAGGAGCTGTTCCACAAGGTCAAACAGTACGACGGCAGGGTGGAGGTGATGACAAATTTATTGGCGGCCGCGAGAAAGTTTATACACTTCTTTCGCTCCGGCCAGCTAGGCTACATCAATCTGGACGAGCCCAGCGGTTTCAGATAGCATTACATACGTACGTCACGTTAACTTAAGGGCTAAGATTAAAATTTGAACAGATGAATCTGCTGGCGTCCTTATTGATTCTCCGTCATGGGCACATCTATGCCAATGTCACCCACGCCGGGCACTGGAATAGAGTATGAAACGCTGGCCAGGTCGTCGGGATCATCGGCGAGATCCATTGGCGTATGGTGCTGTGGCACTTGATCAACCTGGGGCAAGCCACCGAGATGGCCGACCAACTCCGCCGCCTGGTCCACCTCCGGTTGGGGCACCTCGACGGGGCACTGCTAATGTGCGGATAGGCGGTGCGCGAGGCTGCCAATCGCAGCTCCTCCGGCACGCCCTTCATCCGCCGCGCTATGTGGCGCGTGTAAGGAGCCATCTTTTGGTAGTAGGCAATCAGCATCTGGGGATCCTTCTCCGACAGCTGACTGCTGGGCACCAGGTCGAACTCATCGCAGAACTGCCAGCGCACCAGGTACTTGATGTCCCCCGTGACATCCGTGGCGCCCACAATCTCGGCCAGCTCCAGGCCGCGTTCGTAGCCACGCAGCTTCTGGATCTCCTCACACTTGGGCTTCTTCTCTCCACGCTTCTTAGACTTGGCCCGCGATTCCTCGAATTTCTGGATGAGATTGGGGCAGTCGCAGTTTTCCTCTGGCTCCCAGGTGTTGTCCGCCGACGTGTAACCGCGCCACTTGATAAAGTATTCCACCTTGCCCTCGCTGGTGATGCGCTTGTCCATGATGCGCTCCACCACGAAGTTCGGCTCGTTTTTAACCATTTTTCTTTGGACTTTTCGAGGATTGTTTACAAATTGTTTAAAATGGCTTGGGTTTTTTCTTCCTCTTGCGAGTGTGACCGTTTGCTGATAGGTTAAAAATACCAAACGGCTGTTCTGGTATATTTGTGGTAGTTTTCGTTTTTACCGCTATTCGGTTGGGTTTTTGAGCAACTTACAGAAAAATACTTTTTCGATTCCACGCGCTCGGAGTGAAATTCGAATCCAGGTGAAAATCCTCAGGTGGAAAACAGAAATCTTTAGGTACCATGGAGCCTGCGAGGAAAACTGGTCTGGGTTCGATCCGATAGCCAAGGATTTCTACGAGGAAGTGCAAAACAAGTACACCAACGAATCGGGACACATTCTTGTAGATGACGCTCCCGTGCCGCTCAAAAATGAAAAGGAGGATCGCGCCGCCAAGCAGATGAAATATCCGTATTTGGTGGTCCCCAAAAGCAGTTCCTTCGTGACCGAAAGGATGCTGATCAACTTCTTTGGGCGTACTGTCGTTCAGGACCTGGAATACCGCAAAGGGTCGGGCGTTTACTTTGTCTATTTTATCAACATTGGGTAGGTTCAAAGTTCTGGCATGGTCAGCATTATTTATCCCTTTCCTGAAGATCCCTAGAGGCAGCGCGTATTCGAGTGGAGAAGCACCCAAATCTGATCAGGGGCTTTACTGGCCGCCACCAGAAGGAGCGGGAAAGAAATATCGAATTCCTGTCGGCCAGCGAACCAATGCCAAAACGGGGTCCCGCCTTCTTGGAAACTAAACGCACCCCTGTGAATATCCAACCCCATGGGGTTCCCGTCTCGGCCGGCAGACACAAACATCCGGAGTTTATCCGGCCTCGGATGGTCACCAAGGCGGACTACCAAGGGGGTCGCTGCTGGCCATCAATGATCCGATTAAGCGATATCTCAATGTCAGGTATGAGTTCGCCCTGGAGCGCCACGATGTCTATAACCTGAAGGACGAGACAAGGATGTCGCAGGTTGTTCTGCATTTCCGTTCAGGAAGATCCATTCCAGTGTAAGTGTAGCCAGCTATGGTAGATCCTAAAATGATTACTCTATCGTTTAGGTCAACGATTGCTGCTGCTAAGGAGTTTAAACCCGAAAACCTGTTGGAAGAAGGCGTAAGCAAATGTGTGGTCTGCCAGAACTGGACGGATACTTTCTGTAAGCTTTGCAAGATGCCCTTCTGCAACGCCTCCTGTTTCGCGGATGTGGCCGACCAGCACAAGGAGACTTGTGGCAAGGGAGAGTTCCTTACACTCGACGAAAAGGTGGGCAGAAAGTTCCCAAAGCCCGGACTGCCTCCGACCGGATCCAAAGTGAGGATCACAGCCTTTGAGCAGACCAACGTGGTCTATGTGCGCTCGGCTGACATTCACGTTGAATCGCCTATTACGCAGTTCTCTCGGAGGTGATGATGCTGGGAAAAACTGCGGCCAAACTGCAGACAAAGCCAGTCAGTGGACAGATTGTGCTCTGCGAGTTTGAGTCAAGGATGTTCCGCGCCATGGTGCTCAACTTGGACGATCCCAAGGACATCTATGTGGTCTGCATTGATTTCGGCAGCATTGAAGTTACCCAGCTGGAATATTTGTACGAATGCATTGCCTATTTAGCAAGCCTGCCTTGCTATCCCGTGGCTGTGCAGTTACGCGGAGTTCCGAGACGCTTTCTGGGCCCCAAAATAAGGGAAATCATGTACGAACTGGACCACTCTTTGGTTTTTGATATCAAATACTCGAAGCGCGAATACGACTACAGCCAGGGCTTGCAAATCGTGGTAATGACAGAGATCGAAACTAGCGGCAACTTGAACCGTGTTTTTAAGACCATAATGACACCCGTGGAGCCTTCGTTGTCGGAGTTGGGATACAAGGAGGACGTAAGACTAAACTTATGAATATCATTGGCCTTTGTAAAAACTTTTTCTGTCTAGTGTCTTCCACATGTCCCATTGTGCACTGGGAAGAACATCGATCTAGTTGTGATGGACAACTCTTTTCTCGACTACGGCTTTGTCTACTGCACTCCCAGAGATCTGGCATTCGAGATCACAGCAATGCAGCGGGACATACAGGAGTATGGCGAAAAGATCGCGAAGTGCACAACCTACGCTCCACCGTAAAGTTACCTGCAGTATTCTTTTTAGGGAAATAACATAACCCTCTTTTTAATTTAGGAAGGACGTGCTATGTATAGCTAAGTACGAGGGGAAATGGTGTCGAGGTGTTTCCTTGGAACTGGTGGGCGATGGTTATCCCAGAATTTTGTTTATTGACTACGGAAACATTGTGCCAACCCATGTCAGCGACATAAGGGCCTACCCACCGCAGTTTATCTTCCCTGTAATGACTGTAGAGCTGTCTGTGATTGGTGAGTACTAGGATAGTAGTATATTTATCATATTTCTATGATTATCATTCATTTAAGGTTTGCCTGATGAGCTCACCCCTGACCAGATCAATCGGCTAGAGCAATATTTCCCACTGGGAGCCGTCGTGACCTGCAATGAGATCATTTACAGCGAGAAGGACAATAAATTTTCCGTTCGGATTGACAACCTCAAGGATATTTTGAACTTGCACTAATATAGCAAAAAAAAAGTTAAACAAAACTCACTGAAGTTTACGTTTTTTAATGAGAATCATTTAAATCATTCTTTGTTATTATTTAAGTTTTCCTATCATTTTTCTTGAATAAACCAGTTGAAGGCAGTCCAGACTATCAGTGATAGAGGATTCCTGTAAAATATACGTTAAGTAATGGAAAAATATCTGGGTAAACATTATAGGAAACCTACCTCTAGGAAATTATTGCTAAAGGGTGGTTCAATTTTGTTCCAGGTGCCAGTTCCTAAAAAATGTTAATAAAATAGTCGTTTTCCAAACATGATATTCAAAATACCAACATATATAGTGCTTGGCATCAGCTTTCCTCCGTAATTTTGAAGATCCCCTAGGGAATCATTATCTGTGATCAGACCAAGTCGTCTATAAAACTGCAGTTCCTCCGGACCACCTCCAGATGTGATTAGTGTGTACTCTTTGGTGTCCGTTTCCTCAAGTGCCAGCAATTGAGTGGCTTCCTCTCTGGCATTGTGATTATAAATTATAAGGTGTTTGCAGCGGAGAGAGTTAATCTCTGGTAAGTTACTGGTCAGAGCTAAGCCAACCATTGGTTTCTCAGTGGAGTTAAAGACAGATATTTTTTGGGGACTATCCAGCTGCGCGTGGTCTATATCATAGCTCTGGCAGTAACCGATAACTAGTCTCAAGCAATCCTGACTGTTTGCCAAAATACAGCATTTCTCTTTTCTCTCTAGGACTAAATTGTCCAGCATTGCATGGACGAACTCAAACTTGGCGGAGTCGTAGAGCCCCATTTCTGGCCAGGGCGGTAGCTTGGGCTCTAGCACCTGCATTAGTTCCATAGAGTCTGTATTCTTGAATAGTGTTTTAAGGAGTACGGGATGATCGCATACCACTTGGACCATTTCATCTATGAATGAAGGATCCTAAAAAAAATCATCTTGAAAATGTCTCGAAATTTGATGTAACAATATCCCTTACCACCTTCGATTTTTTGATGTATTCAGCCAGAAAAAGAAATATGCTCTCTTGAAGTGCTGCTGGGGCTAGGAAGCACAGATATTCCGCTCGGGTGAATCCCGACGTGGCAGGATTTTCATTCTCCGCAGATGTTTTTCTATTTATTCCCCACTCCAGCTCATTGGATAGGCAGGGAGCACTGCCTACATGAGGTGAGGTATCCATTTGAATACTACTCTCGGAGGATCCCCAAGTCGATGGATTCTCTACACCCATGAAGTTCCCTTCGCGCTTTACTTTCTTCAGGACATGGGATCTGAAGGGAGCACTGGGCGCAGGAGGTGGCGATGTGTCCGAATGACCATTGAGTGCATCAATTTTCTGGCACCAAGTGGCAATCTCCAGCTTGCGTTGGGTCACGCACTCTTCGAGTGTTTTAATTTCCTCCTGGACCTCAACATCTCTGGTGCCGACTTGCAGCTGATCGTTCTCCTTGAAATCGCGCTGCTTAAAGACGGTCATGGTGTCCACAACCTTCCCAGTGTCATCCTTAAGGGTTACTATGGATCCGGTGACCACCAGGGTTCCGTTGCCAGTCCACGTCTTGTGCTTTCTGGTGGTCTGATTGCGCCAGAGCACATGGAAAATGCGGCTCTCCTTGAGGGGATTCTCGCCAGCTTTGAGTTCTCGGGGCCCCAGGCTTTCGCTGCCTTTGGAGGATCCCCATTCGCTCGGGAGAGAGATGCTGGGCCAGGAGCAAGATGATTGTGGGTCCTCGAGAGGATCAGCTTCGCGCTTTACTGCCTGGCGCATCGAGGGAGCCTTCGAACGTCGCATTGGTAGTCTAAGGGGGTAGTTAGTCTTCAAGGGATCGTAGGATATTACCAATTTCCACCTAAATTGATGGAAAAACTGAAACGAGGGCGCTAATTTATTTTCAATTCACAGTGCAGTGTGGCCAAAGCAATGAAATGTCAAGGGTGTTGTTGGACCCTTTTGGTGACCCCGGTGAACGGTCACACTAGGTAGTGCCGGCTTTAGAATTTTTTGCAGAAATCCTCTCCAGGCACGAGTTGAGTGATTCCCCTGGCAACGATGGCGTTTCACTGGTGCGACAACAACCTGCACACCACCGTGTTCACGCCGCGTGACTTCCAGGTGGAACTGCTGGCCGCGGCCTATGAGCGGAACACCATAATCTGCCTGGGCCACCGCAGCTCCAAGGAGTTCATAGCCCTCAAGCTGCTCCAGGAGCTGTCGCGACGCGGACGTCAACGTGGTCGGGTCAGTGTCTACCTGAGCTGCGAGGTAGGGGTAAGCAAGGAGCCCTGCTCCATCTACACGATGCTCACCCACCTGACCGACCTGCGGGTGTGGCAGGAGCAGCCAGACATGCAGATTCCCTTTGACCACTGCTGGACGGACTACCACGTGTCCATTCTGCGGCCGGAGGGATTTCTCAGCCTGCTCCAGGGTCGCGATCTGTTGCTCAGCAGCGTGGAGCTGATTGTGCTGGAGGATTGTCACGACAGTGCGGTCTATCAGAGGATTATGCCCATCTTCGAGGAACACATTATTCCAGCTGCCCCGGCGGACAGACCGCGCATACTCGGACTGGCTGGACCACTGCACAGCGCCGGATGTGAGTTGCAGCAGCTGAGCGCCATGCTCGCCACCCTGGAGCGTAATGTGCTCTGCCGGATAGAGACGGCCAGCGACATAGTCACTGTGCTGCGCTACTGTTCCCGTCCGCACGAGTACATTGTGCAGTGCGCCCCCTTCGAGATGGACGAGCTGTCCCTGTTGCTAGCCGATGTTCTCAACACCCACAAGTCCTTCATGGTAGATCACCGCTACGATCCGTACGAAATCTACGGCACGGACCAGTTCATGGAGGAATTGAAGGGTGTGTTTTTGGAGAGAAAGTAATCGAAATCATATAGTAACCCCGCTACCTACCCTTTCAGACATACCCGATCCCAAGGTGGACCCGCTGAACGTCATCAACTCGCTTCTGGCCGTGCTGCACGAGATGGGGCCCTGGTGCACGCAGCGGGCTGCCCAGCACTTTTACCATTGCAACGAGAAACTAAAGGTAAGACGCCGCACGAGCGGCACTACCTACTCTACTGCCTGGTGAGCACGGCCCTCATCCAACTGCACTCCCTGTGCGATAACGCGTTCCAGCGGCACCAGGGACCTGGTGGCGACACACGTCAAACCATCGAACGTTACTCCAGCCCCAAAGTGCGACGCCTGCTGCAAACACTGCGGTGTTTTAAGCCCGAAGATGTGCAACCCAGGCGGACGGTTTGCGCAGGATGCGGCAACAGGTGGATCAGGCGGACTTTAACCGTTTATCGCATGTGTTGGAGAACAAGTGTCGGGTGGTGGACCAACTGGAGCAACAGCCAACGGAGACACGAGCCCTGGTGGCCAATCTCGAGCAAATTCTGCACACGTCAGAGGAAAACAGCCGGCGGTCAGGAGCGCCGCTCGGGTTGCTCCTAGTCCTGCGCCTTCGAAGTCTAAGCCGGGCAGTGGGTCAAACACTGGCCAACAGCGCACCCGAAGACGAGTGTACACGAGACGCCACCACCGGGATCAGCATGATGGCAGTGACACTCTCTGTGCGCTGATTTACTGCAATCAGAACCATACGGCGCGCGTGCTCTTCGAGTTGCTGGCTGAGGTGAGCAGGCGTGATCCAGATCTCAAGTTCCTACGCTGCCAGTACACCACGGACCGGGTGGCGGATCCCACCACAGAGCCCAAGGAGGCCGAATTGGAGCACCGGCGCCAGGAGGAGGTCCTCAAGCGATTCCGCATGCACGACTGCAATGTGCTAATTGGCACTTCGGTGCTGGAAGAGGGCATCGATGTGCCAAAGTGCAACTTGGTCGTGCGATGGGATCCGCCCACCACATATCGTAGTTACGTCCAGTGCAAAGGCCGGGCTCGAGCTGCTCCCGCCTACCACGTTATCCTAATTGCGCCTAGTTACGAAAGCCCGCCTGTAGGTGCAGATCGGCTAAGTGATCGGAGTCATCGCTTCATTTGCGGGGCATCAGGAACGGGAGACAACACAGAGGCGGACAGCGACTCGGATGACTCGGCGATGCCGAATTCCTGCGGTTCGGATCCCTATACCTTTGGCACGGCCCGCGGAACGGTAAAGATACTTAATCCCGAAGTTTTTAGTAAGCAGCCGCCGACGGCATGCGACATTAAGCTGCAGGAGATCCAGGACGAATCGCCGGCTTTAGGATTTCTGGACAATAGCAACTCCAGCGACGAAGCCGTCAGCAAGAGCTACACTTCTCCCAGTGAGAGCAGTACAGAACGAAAGTCTAAGCGCTTCCAGTGCGAGCTGGGCGTACCAACCGAGCCAGAAGCTACTACCGATCCATCTCCCAAAATCGAAACGGTGGATCGCTTGGCCAGTACCACCAAGGAGTTGGTGCATCAAATGGCACAATATCGGGAGATTGAGCAGATGCTTTTATCCAAGTGCGCCAACACAGAACCGCCGGAGCAGGAGCAGAGCGAGGCGGAGCGCTTCAGTGCCTGCCTGGCCGCCTATCGACCCAAGCCGCACCTCCTGACCGGGGCCTCCGTGGATCTCGGCACTGCCATAGCCCTGGTCAACAAGTACTGCGCTCGCCTGCCCAGCGACACTTTCACCAAGTTGACGGCCTTGTGGCGCTGCACGCGGAGCCAAAGGGATGGAGTTACACTGTTTCAGTACACACTCAGACTGCCCATCAATTCGCCATTGAAGCATGACATTGTGGTAAGTGTGGGAAATGTTCTTAATACAAGGAAATTTCAGTTTTCTAATACCCTTATATTCTTTAGGGTCTTCCAATGCCCACCCAGACTTTGGCCCGTCGACTGGCTGCCTTGCAGGCATGTGTGGAGCTACACAGGATTGGTGAGCTTGACGATCAGTTGCAGCCCATTGGCAAGGAGGGTTTCCGCGCCCTGGAACCCGATTGGGAGTGCTTTGATCTGGAGCCGGAGGACGAGCAGATTGTCCAGCTGAGCGATGAACCCCGTCCGGGAACAACAAAACGGCGTCAGTACTACTATAAACGGATTGCTTCCGAATTCTGCGATTGCCGTCCGGTGGCCGGATCACCATGCTATCTGTACTTCATTCAGCTGACGCTCCAGTGTCCAATTCCCGAAGAGCAGAACACACGAGGCCGCAAAATCTATCCACCCGAGGATGCCCAGCAGGGATTCGGCATTCTCACCAGCAAACGCATCCCAAAGTTGAGCGCCTTCTCGATCTTTACACGTTCCGGTGAGGTGAAGGTTTCCTTGGAGTTGGCCAAGGAGCGGGTGGTCCTTACCAGCGAACAGATTGTCTGCATCAACGGTTTCCTGAATTACACATTCACCAATGTACTTCGGCTGCAAAAGTTCCTCATGCTCTTTGATCCGGACTCCACTGAGAACTGTGTTTTCATTGTGCCCACGGTGAAGGCACCAGTGGGTGGCAAGCATATCGACTGGCAGTTCCTAGAGCTCATCCAGGCCAATGGCAATACAATGCCTCGTCCAGTGCCCGATGAGGAGCGCCAAGCGCAGGCTTTTGATGCCCAACGATTCCAAGATGCCGTCGTGATGCCATGGTATCGCAACCAGGATCAACCGCAATACTTCTACGTGGCCGAGATCTGTCCCCACCTTTCACCACTCAGCTGCTTCCCCGGTGACAACTACCGCACGTTCAAGCACTACTACCTCGTCAAGTATGGCCTGACCATACAGAATGCCTCGCAGCCGCTGTTGGACGTGGATCATACGAGTGCTCGTTTAAATTTCCTGACGCCGCGATATGTAAATCGCAAAGGAGTGGCTCTGCCCACCAGTTCGGAGGAGACGAAACGGGCAAAGCGCGAGAATCTTGAGCAAAAACAGATCCTGGTGCCAGAGCTGTGCACCGTGCACCCATTTCCAGCCTCTTTGTGGCGAACTGCCGTGTGCCTGCCCTGCATTCTGTATCGCATCAATGGTCTTCTCTTGGCGGACGATATTCGTAAGCAAGTTTCTGCGGATCTAGGCCTTGGAAGGCAGCAGATCGAGGAGGACGATTTCGAATGGCCCATGCTGGACTTTGGCTGGAGTTTATCGGAAGTTCTGAAGAAATCCCGCGAGTCTAAGCAAAAGGATTCGCAAAAGGAGGCTTTGGTGAATGGAAACGATTTAGGTGATGTTCAAAAGGAACCGGCTAAAGAGGAGACTCCACTAGATGAGGATTCCAAAACCGATAATGCTGAAAAGAGTGCCGTCGAACTTATCATTGAGGGTGAACAGAAACTCCAAGAGGCGGATGATTTTATTGAGATAGGCACTTGGTCGAACGACATGGCCGACGACATAGCCACCTTTAACCAAGAAGACGAGGACGAAGAGGACGCCTATCACCTTCCAGTTCTGCCTGCCAACGTTAAGTTTTGTAAGTTTTTTAGGTACATTTAGCTGGGAAGAGAAATAATAGCTAATAAATCTTGCAGGCGATCAGCAGACCCGGTATGGATCGCCAACCTTTTGGGACGTGAGCAATGGGGAATCTGGTTTCAAGGCTCCGAAGCGCGGTCAGAATCAGCAAGGTAACAAGGGCAAAGGAAAGGGTCCAGCAAAGCCCGCCTTCAACTATTACGACTCGGACAATTCGCTGGGCTCCAGCTACGATGATGACGACAACGCTGGACCGCTAAATTACATGCACCACAACTATAGCTCGGATGACGACGATGTGGCGGATGATATCGATGCGGGTCGTATTGCTTTCACATCCAAGAACGAGGCGGAGACCATCGAAACCGCCCAGGAAGTGGAAAAGCGCCAGAAGCAGCTGTCCATCATCCAGGCGACAAATGCCAACGAGCGGCAATACCAGCAGACCAAGAACCTGCTCATTGGATTCAACTTCGAACAGGAAGAGGAGGACCAGGACGGACTTCCCAGCGGCAGATACGAACAGTCCATAGCTAAACTTAAGACGGAGATAGAAAGCTGCGGGATGCTGGTGCCCCACGATCAGCAGTTGGTTCTGAAGCGAAGTGATGTTGCTGCCGCTCAAGTTGCAAAGAAATCGATGATAGAGCTGTTAAAGCAACTACTGCCATACGTAACGGAGGAGCTGCTGTCCGAAAAGCTGGGTGACAGGCGGGAGCTGCTGCTGTCGGATTTAGTGGAGCTAAACGCAGATTGGGTGTCCCGGCATGAGCAGGAGACCTATACGGTTTTGGGATGCGGAGATAGTTTTGACAACTACAATGATCATCATCGTCTAAACTTGGATAAAAAACAACTAAGGCTGCAGTTTGATCGAGCAGAAATCCAGCCAATCACTCCTAAGAAAGCCATATCATCATCCATGTTACAGGCTGGATTCAGCTTCGATCGTCAACCGAATCTAGTAGGCCATCCAGGACCCAGTCCCAGCATAATATTGCAGGCCCTCACCATGTCCAACGCCAACGATGGCATTAATCTTGAGCGCCTGGAGACCATTGGAGATTCCTTTCTCAAGTATGCCATTACCACATATTTGTACATCACCTACGAGAATGTCCACGAGGGAAAACTTAGCCACCTGCGCTCCAAGCAGGTTGCCAACCTAAATCTTTATCGTCTGGGAAGGCGCAAGAGACTGGGCGAGTACATGATAGCCACAAAGTTCGAACCTCACGACAACTGGCTGCCACCCTGCTACTACGTGCCGAAGGAGCTGGAAAAGGCGCTTATCGAGGCGAAGATCCCTACGCACCACTGGAAGCTGGCCGATCTGCTAGACATCAAGAACCTAAGCAGCATGCAAATCTGCGAGATGGTTCGCGAAAAAGCCGAGGCTTTGGGCTTGGGGCACAATGGAAGTGCCCCAACTGGCCAGATAGACGAATCCAACGACAGCTGCAATGATTTTAGCTGCTTTATTCCGTACAACCTTGTATCACAGCACAGCATTCCGGATAAGTCCATCGCCGATTGTGTCGAGGCGCTGATTGGAGCCTATCTTATTGAGTGCGGACCTCGGGGAGCACTACTTTTCATGGCCTGGCTGGGGGTAAGGGTCCTGCCCTTTACCAAGCAGCTGGAGGCTGCGAGTAAGGAGGATCGAATACCGGGAAGCACCAGACCAAATGCCGAAAAAATGGTTACCGTTTACGGCGCTTGGCCCACGCCACGAAGTCCTCTGCTGCACTTTGCCCCCAACGCCACGGAGGAGCTGGACCAACTGCTCAGTGGTTTCGAGGAGTTCGAGGAGAGTCTCGGATACCAGTTCCGGGATCGGTCCTACCTTTTGCAAGCCATGACACATGCCAGTTATACTCCTAATCGACTGACGGATTGCTACCAGCGCTTGGAGTTTCTGGGCGACGCAGTGCTGGATTACCTCATCACACGGCATTTATACGAAGATCCCCGCCAGCACTCGCCGGGCGCATTAACGGACTTGCGGTCTGCTCTGGTGAATAACACAATTTTCGCCTCTCTAGCCGTTCGCCATGGATTCCACAAGTTCTTCCGCCATCTCTCGCCGGGTCTTAATGATGTGATAGACCGATTTGTGAGAATCCAGCAGGAAAATGGTCACAGCATTAGTGAGGAGGTTAGTTCTAGCACTTCTTAATAATACAGTTTATAATAAGTGTTCTGCTTTGTTTCAGTACTACTTATTGTCCGAGGAGGAGTGCGATGATGCGGAGGACGTTGAGGTGCCCAAGGCTTTGGGCGATGTTTTCGAGTCGATCGCAGGGGCCATTTTTCTCGACTCGAACATGTCGCTGGACGTGGTGTGGCACGTCTACAGCAACATGATGAGCCCGGAGATAGAACAGTTTAGTAACTCAGTGCCAAAGTCGCCCATTCGGGAGCTCCTCGAGCTGGAGCCGGAGACAGCCAAGTTCGGCAAGCCCGAGAAGCTGGCGGATGGGCGGCGGGTGCGCGTTACCGTGGATGTCTTCTGCAAAGGAACCTTCCGTGGCATCGGGCGCAACTATCGCATTGCCAAGTGCACGGCGGCCAAATGCGCTCTGCGCCAGCTCAAAAAGCAAGGCTTAATAGCCAAAAAAGACTAAAGAGTCATCGCTGCAATTGTGTTTCATTAGGTTTAAGCAAAACTTTTTAGATTTAAGAATAACATTTGTATAAATCCTGAATAAATTGTATATGTCGAATCTGTGTGTAAATCGACGTGAATTTTAATTCTCAGTTTCAGCGAAGTGCAGAATAATCGAAGTTGATAAGATTTCAACGCTATTTTTGTGATAAACGTCAACCAAAACAGCTCAAAGCGCAGTGAGCTTATCGCACTTAAATTGGCAAACTTTTACCGATTAGATTTAGTGATAACTTGGCAGTTGAGAAGACATGGACGCGGCAGTAGAGGAAATTCCCTATCAAGAATTAAAAATGGGAGAGGTTTGTAGCAAGCCTTAAAAGCCATTTTTAATTAAGAATCGTTTCTACATTTTAGCTTATAGGTTCAGGATTTTATGGTCACGTTTATAGTGCGAGGTGGAGAAATATTAAGATTGCAGTGAAGAGGATAATACCGGGCCGCGAAAACAAAAAAATTCTCAGAGAGGTTAACAACCTCTCAAGGGTCAGCCATGTAAATATCGTTAAACTCTACGGAATTTCCAAGGACGAGGACAGCTTTCTTATGCTCATGGAATACGTTGATGGAGGATCTCTACACAAATTTTACATGAGGGCCAATTGAGACCATTTTATTCTCATGCTCACGCCTTCAACTGGGCCCACCAGATCGCTAAGGTATGCCGGTTTATCAGCAATTTAGGGAGCGGAGTAACACAAATGTGCTTTATAGGCAGTAGCTTATCTACATGCCATTACACCCCACGCCGTCATTCATCGCGATATCAAGCCACTCAATGCTCTGCTGTGTCAAAAGGGTCTCAGTCTGAAGATCTGCGATTTTGGCACAGTCGTAGACCTATCCCAATCAATATCTCAGAACGCAGGAACCTGCAAATACAAACCACCTGAGGTACGTGATCTACAATCTACCAAGTAGGTAAATAAGAAAATCTTGCCAAAGGTTTTGGTTGGACTTCCCTTCACTGAAAATGTGACGTCTACAGTTGGGCGGTTACTTTTTGGGAAATATTATCGCGCAAGGAACCATTTGAACAACATGATGGTACTTTTGCCTTGAGCCTGGCAATTAATGGAGGCAAGTAATTGCGTTAAGTATCAATTATTCTACTCAAAGCAAGGATATTGTTATTTTTACAGGTGAGAGGCCGCCGTTAAATAGTATTACCTCCTGCCCCGAGGATGTAATTAGTTTAATTGACACTTGTTGGAACACGAATCCGCAAAGGAGACATACAATGGAACTGGTTGCTTATATAATGGAAAGGTTTGTCAGTGAAGCTGGACCAATTCAACCTCTGGATTTGTAATCAAAACATTTTTAACAACCAATCAGTAATAATAATCAGCTATCTATGTGAACGTTAAACACTATTTTATTTTCTTGAAAACTCTCCTGAAATATTTACATTGTATGGGTTACTGTATGGATTACGCGGATAGGACAAGGGTGGGATGGGTGTTAGATGCTCTTGGGGGATTTGGGCGCCAAATATTCAATTCAAGGTACATCCAGTGAACTGTAGTATAATTTGCGGAAATACATAGTTTGTTATTTTCGTTAGCTGCGGGTATAGGTATGCATATAGGGAATTTATAAAATATGATCTAGGCATATGTTTTACAGTATATGGATCACTAGCAATACGTTTGATAATTTTACTTATACTCTTCATGTGTTTTTTTTGTTCTATCGAATGTAAATTTAAAAAATTAAATGTTAAAACGTTTTAATAAATATATTCATATGTGTTTGTATATATATTTTGCTTGCTTGTTAAAACAAAATGATCCTCGCTCATGTGTTGGTTAGTTACACAATGGAAAACTGTAACGTTTCGTAGAGTTTCGTTTTGGAGTATAATTGTCTCGTTAATCATAGGTTTCCTTTTGTTTTTTCGTTTTTAATAAATGTTACATACGTTAAACTTATATATATATATCTATATATAAACATGCGTGTATGTAAGCATAGTTTATTTAATTCAATTGGTTTGGTATAATTGTTGTCTTTATACTCGCTATAATTGTTTTCGTTTCGTCTTTTTTTTCACCGCACGTTCCTGCCTACGATTTGTTCAATGTCTTCATATATATGTATATATGGATGTTCAAGCATATATATTCCCTTTGTATTGTTGTAATTTAGGTCGCATTCAATTTTGGTTGCATTTGCTTCACTTAATTTCGGGGTCTAATCGAAATGTTTGCATTCAAATTAGAAACAAACAAAACATAATCCAAAATAGGCGACAATATGATTTGATTGCGAGATTTAATGGACGAATTTCGAGTGATTAACTGAGATATTATTGAAGTATAGAAAAGGATGGCTTACTTATAGTTGCTGCGTTATCGCCAATACTCATACCTTATGCTGAATTTCTAATACATAAACTTATTATTAAGGTAAAAAAAAACGTAACTATCCTGGTAGAATTTAAAATAAAATAAATTCTTAAAGTGTTAACAAAAGGTGTTAAAAACGTTTTATTGTTGTCATTTGTATGTGATATGTTTCGGGTGTGGTAAGAACACAAATATAAATAAATTATTAAAGAATAGGTGGTTACAAAAAATTGAATACACTTAAAAGACGGCTTAAACAATAACTGAACGGACATTCAAGTACGAGTTGGGTACTGGACAGCTAGGTTAAACTATTTTACAAAAGGTAAAAGAGCAACACAATATTCGAGTACAATTGGTGTTAGTCGCACAATACACTGGGACAAACGCATAATTTATAATATTCGAAACGGATCTATAGAGCACAAACAAATAGTTTTGGAAAGCGTAATCGGCGTGAAACGTTGACAATGACGATGACATTGTGGGTTAATAATGTCGTGGTTACCTAGTCTCTCGATTACGTACATATAAAAATTCTAATTTGGATTCGGCTCACGATTAGGTTTGAGATACATGGGGAGTACATTGCTATGTATATGTAGCTGAGTATGAGTACAATATTGTAAGAGGTCTAATTTCAACTGCCACCTGCTCTCAGTTTTCTACGTAAAAGCAAGCTCTAGAAGTCGACTACAAATGTTGTGGAACTCATTGGGCATGCAATTGTTTATACGGGGGGTTTGGTTAATGCGATTAGCTTTCAGAATTCCTAGACGTACATACATGTGACTGACTACATGATAGATGTGGGTCGTGTGTTTGTGGCTTGTCTACGATTACCTTTCGAAACGAACACAAAATATAAACTCATTGGGGAAACCTCATCTAAACAAATGCCAAGTACTATGAGATGGTTGGTGGGGTGGCTGATGGCTACGGATTTTTGGTTTGAAATGGACATGATATACACAATTATAATTATAACACATTCGTTTAGCTGCAAATTGCTTCTGTTCTTGAGTCTGATTTAAATCGAAATCTATGTGTCTGTGTGTGTTGTTTGTTGTTGTTGGTTGGTTGCTATATACTTAGTCTACAGAACGACGTCAGGCAGGTCGTGCGGCCTTGCCTAGGCGCGCATTTGGTTTTCATGTACGATTTTCCTCTCCTTATAGTAGATCTCCTCCGACTCCTTGTCGCAGAGCAGCAGGACGACGGCTCCGAAAAGGAAATGGCCGCGCCCCATCCGACGCCATAGGCCCAGCCGAATCCCAACTCGCCGATTGGCTAAAATGTGAAATACATATAAGTATCTGAAGAAGTTGTCCTCAAGAGTGTAAAATCATACCCATGGTTAGTTCGCCGGCAAAGCACACTGGATACACGATCAAAGCGGACAACACGGCCAGCACTGCAACATAAAATAAGCCTTAGTACTTGCTGATATTATCAATTTAACTAGTTTCTTACAGGATACGAGCATCACCAATACCGCTATACGGTAAACTTATATTTAAGATTATGGTTCTGCGTCTTTAGGCCCAGACCAGTCAGTACTGTGGCAATAACGTCCGTTATTAGCGTAATAATGCAGAGAGCGGCTGTGGCCTTGATGTAGCCTTTGGGATATTAAAAATTTTGATGATTTAGTATAGTTATGAATTCATTTTGATCTGGTATTACATCTATACATACCCACATCGCGGGTCCAGTAGCAACCTGGCGGATCCTGGATGTTGAAAGGCAGCGGCGCCACCGAATCGTCCTCGATGCAGTGCACAAAGAGACCTTGCCGCCAGTCAGAGGCCATAAGCCAGTCTGTGGATGCTAGGGCCATGATCATCAAAACCACCACGATGACGCCGCAGATAAATGCAATCACCTGTGAAGGTAGAGAAATCGGTTAACCAATCTGAAACTTTAAGCCAAGTGCATACCTTCAGCGGCCTCGTGATTGTGATGGTCTCAATCGTGGTTGTCGGCGCCATTTTCTCCGCTGGTGGACGTAGAACACTGCATACATGATAATTATTATTAAATGTGGGTGGGAGGAATATATTTACTAGCTTCACAGGCCAGTCAAACTCACCTTATCGACTATATGCAGGCAAAGTGCTGCCCGCAGCTACTAATTGGAATGCGTTTCTTGGTTAGTTTTGCTTAATGGGATGTTGGAAGGGTTTTATTTTTCGGGGCAGGCGAGTAAATGCTACGCCGGTTGGCTTTAACAATCTAATATAAATGCTTCAATTGGCGTTTTATTGCTTTTGGTTTGCGCGCTGAGGTTTTTCCAATGCGTTTCGAATTTCAAATTGCTGGCGGAAGCAGCCCGTTCAACATCTGTATTACGAAAGGGGGGATCGTTTGTTAGCAGGGCAGGAAATAGAGAAATTGGTGACATTCGATTAGAGCGACTGGCGCACAACGTTCGTACAACATCTGTGTTTTCAGCAAGCCAGTTAAGAAAGCAGCAGCAACATGCAAAAACAACTCGGGCAACAACTCGGCAACAACATGACAACGACAATGGCAAACTATTAGGGATTTACGGGAATATATCAAGTGCATCTGCGGCTACAAGGTTTTTACTACAAAAGTAAGTAAATAAAAGATTAGTACAATTCTGTCTATAAACAAAAGCTCTTACAACTTTTAAATTTGTAATAATTGTATTCTCACACGGAAGGAAATGCACATCAATGCCGGAATGCTTTCATTTGTTATAAATACAAGTTATCTGAACACATATTTATTTCATCAAAACGCGCTTGTAACTTGGTTGAAAGAGACTTCTATAATTATATACGTATATTTTTTTGACCACAATTGTAGGCACCAATGTATGTCATGGATTAACTGTCGCAATTTGCAAAACAATGCGTTTCCACAGTTGAATGAGTTCGGATTGTTGAAATTAAAATCGCTCTATTGTGACAGACAGAAGCGCGGCTGAATATTTCAGTCTGTTAAGGGGGGAAGCCCAACGACAAAAGACGGAAGCTGGGGTGCTAAGGTGCAGCCCCCACATAAATTATGCTGCGCGGCAACTGCAACTAAGCAATTTCAATGCTGGAATTGCAGACAGGGTAATTACCCATTCGCATTCCATTGTTATACCCTAGGTAAAAGTAAAATATTTGGTATTTGTTTAATATTAAATCCACGACGGTCCCTGGGTGTCATCTAAAAAACTAAGGACCTGAAACGTTTGAAATACATATTTCGTATTTTCAAACAAAATTTTAAAATCTTTCTGATCACATCCTAACTTTTTAGTTTTCAAATAAATCACATAAGTATATAGGTGGCATAGAAAAGATCAGTAAAACATAATATAAAATTCTTGTTTTTAAATTATGCTAATAAATCATTTATACGACACCGGAAGTACATAATACATTTTATTAAAAACCGGATATCGAGCTGTTTGATTGATGGTTTAATTATTCAGACAGAAGGGTATACAAACTTCGCCACGCCGATATCGAACATTCGCACGTTTCCTTGCCAATTTTTAATATCTTTCAGATGCAGATACGCGAACTGAGACACGTTTATATCTACTATATCCCCCGTACTCATACATATGTGAAGCGTCTGGGGATTCTCGAGATATTTCGACGGGACGGACGTAGATGGTTTAGTTTTATTTTTAGCGGCTAGAAATCTTCAATAAAAACAACAACAATTTCGCAGATGAGCGAGTACGGACTTTGTGTGCTGGTGTGTGTGCGTGTGTGGGTGAGTGGCATGGCAACAGGATCATAACGGTTAATTGCTATATAGAACGTAACGGTAACGGCAGGCAAAATTGGGGCAAACGGCCAAATGCAAAACAACAACAATGACAAGGGCGAGGGTATTTCTATAAATGTAAGTATGTATGTTGTGTGTGTTGGGGGAAACGGAAGCAAAACAAAATGCATACTGTTTAGGTTCACGAATATACCTTTCCTTGTAATAGTCCAGAGTTACCGATTCGGAATCAAATTCTGAGTAATCTGGCAGCGATTCGGCATCAAAGGAGCTCATTCCGCTGAGCGTGTAATTGGGCAAGACGTTCATTTTGTTGTTGTATCCAACAAGGCTGCCTTGCTGCTGCTGATATTGTTGTTGCTGCTGCATTGTTGTTTTTCTTTTTCTTTCTACGTTTGTTGTTTTTTCCGCTTTTAACAATATGTCACGCACACACACACACACACGCCCTCGAAACTGACTGCTATATTTTTTCTCTATTCTCTTTTCGCTGCCTTTTCACACTCTTTTCACTTTCGCCAAATTGTTTTCCGCCGTTCGGTTCTACCTGTGCACTTACAATCTGCTCGAAAAGCTCTGTCGCTTTTCCACATTCACATGTTCCTCGACCACCGACCACTTTTCTAGATAATCAAAAAATAAAAATAACGAAAATAATGTTTTGCTTCCCTCATAGAGCTGGAACAAAAATCGATGTGTTTTCGACTCTATCGATGTAGGCAGAGTTGCCACAAGCGATGTTTGCCGTGTGAGTATCGATTATTAACTTTACCATCACTACTGCTATATGGGGAGGTAACAAAAATCAAAATCGCTGTTTTAATTATAGGCAGCATAGAAATATAAATGATGTTAATTAATTCTGAATGCTTACATATTTAATTAAATTTAACTATGCACAATGATGGTACGGTAAGATAAACTATCCGATATTTATCGCGGACGTCAAAATCGAATGACCATTTTTACCGGGATAATGAATCCCGAAAACCAGTGTGACCATTTACCACAGTACGAAAACGTAAGAACTCGGCGTCGCGTGGCTTGGCCAGATTATCGAACAAAACAATATCCTAGAACAATCCGTAGAATCCCGTTTCTGTCCCAAAGAGTCCGCGGTGGACCCCAGGAATCCATGGCCACGGACACGGTGTCCAACGGCGAGAACTTCGCCCAGCATTTGACCGGCAGCGGCGACGACGACGTGATCTGTCCCACATGCGACGGGAAGATCAAGCGCAGTCAGGTGGCCGATCACTGCCAAGTGGAGATGGAGCGGTTGCACAATCCCATAAGGGTCGCCAATCCGGCGGCCCAATCCGCCGGGTCAACTGCAGCATCCGCGTCTCCAGGATCCGGATCTGGATCGGGAGGCAGACAGCCGTGGAGTGTGTTCCAGCGAGTGCAGCGCAACCGGCAGGCCCGTCAGCGCCAGCGACTAGGAAGCGTCCGGCCTCTCCTGGTCCATCACCTCCTGCAGCAGTAGCTCCTATCCAGCAGCGTCAGCTCCTCCGCCTCCTGCAGCTGCCGCTCCTCCACCCTCAGCCGCTCCAGAAGCCAGTCAACCCACCTGCCCCGTGTGCAATCATAACTTTCCGCAATCCAACATTCAAGAGCATGTCAATCAGTGCCTGCGCCAGAGCCGACGGAACGGCCAGGCCAATGGGGAGCGGCATTCCAGCGATGACTCCGAGGACAGCGAGGAATATGAGGAGTACGAGTGGGCGGGACAGAAGCGCATTCGCGTGTCCACCCTCGTTCAGGGAGGCTACTCTGCCTTGGGTCTGGGCCAGACGATAAGTATAATGGCAACCAGCAAGCGCAGGACGACGAGGACGAGGATCTTAATGTGGACGAGGATGACACGCACATCTATGGGCCAACGCAGTATGGCGAGGGCGATGTGATTCCCTGGTCAATGAGGACACAGAGGGAAATGTCTCGAGGCAGATGTGACCAGCTATGTGCGCCGCCTAATCTCCTCCAGCGACGGGCCCAAGGCAAATCATTCCAGCGAAACCGCCGAACAAGAGACTGCCCATGCCAGCAACGTGGAGGCGCCACCAGCCAGGGAGGAGCCATCCACGTCGCGGTCCACGCGATCCGCCTCCCAAACCAGCAGCAGGTCATCGAGTCGCTGAAGGCCAAGCTGCGGCTGTACGAGAAGCAGGCGCAGGGAAAGTACAAGTGCCTAATCTGCATTGATGACTACAAAATCCCGCCATTCCGTGTCCTGCTGGCACGTCCACTGCGAGCAGTGTTGGCTGCAGACCCTGGGTGCTCGAAAGCTGTGCCCGCAGTGCAATTCGATCACGACGCCGAAGGACCTGCGACGCATCTACCTGTAGGCGTCCGCAATCGACTTGTTATCCCCGCTGCCGAACTGCTTCCGCCGGCTTTGCTACTAACGCAGATCTAGATGATAACCGTATACATATTATTTATATAGATAACAGATACCGATTATATTACGTGACATTACAATAAGCTTAACATGTAACTATTACAATAAACTACAGAAAACATCAGTTGTTAGAGTACGCATTGAGTTAATCCCTGATATTAGCATTGATTTATCAAAAAAGCGTCTCAAGCAAAATATAATTATTTAATAATTTAAATTCTCTTTAATCAGAGAAACTTTATTTTAATATGCTGTGCAACATTTTTATTTTTATTACTCATTTAAAACAACTAATTTATTTTTCTAATACAAATTTTTTTACTGTGTATTGCCTTGTATTTATGGTTAGTTATCGATTATCGATAGATCAGTATAACGTATCGTTAATTTTAAACCTGCATTTTTGAGTTTATTTCTTGTCTAAAGCCTCGTTATATAAGAACAAACAAACTTAAGATAAATTACGATTAAAAAATGTTGAATAAATTTAAAAATTATAATTTTTCACCTTGTACGTCGTTTTGTTTTGTAAAAGTTCCTCACGCGTTCATCCCTAATTCACTTTGCCTGGTTTTCTGTCCAATTTCTCCACCATGTCCGGCTCCGGTGGGATTTAACTGGGAATATGTGATCTGTAAGCTAATCCTGTCTTCTTTTGCAGGTGCCAATCCCTTTGCCCAGTTCCAGGAATCATTCACCCAGGATGGCATGTCTACAAGTACTTTGATCTGCCCTCCATCGACAACAAATATGGTAAATAGTCATCTTTATCAATGTTTTTGTTATCTTTATTATTATTATCACCCTGCGCAGATTCACTGCCCTTTTGCATTCGCGTTCTACTGGAATCCGCGGTGCGCAACTGCGACAACTTCCATGTGCTGGAGAAGGATGTGCAGAGCATCCTGGGATGGACACCATCGCTGAAGCAGGGGACCAGCGATGTGGAGGTCTCCTTAAGCCGGCGCGTGTTATTTTGCAGGTTGGGATCGGGAATCCATCCATACATATATGTTCTAAGGTATTCTTCCATTCCAGGACTTTACTGGCGTTCCCGCCGTCGTGGACTTCGCTGCTATGCGGGATGCGATCCGCCAACTGGGCGGCAATCCTGAGAAAATCAATCCCATCTGCCCTGCCGATCTGGTCATCGACCACTCCGTTCAAGTGGATTTTGTCCGCTCCTCGGACGCATTGACCAAGAACGAGTCGTTGGAGTTCCAGCGCAACAAGGAACGCTTCACATTCCTCAAATGGGGAGCCCGTGCCTTTGACAATATGCTGATTGTGCCACCCGGCTCTGGTATTGTTCACCAAGTCAACCTGGAGTACCTAGCACGAGTGGTCTTCGAGAATGAGGATTCCAGCGATAATTCCAAGATCCTGTATCCGGATAGTGTCGTGGGAACCGACTCCCACACCACCATGATCAATGGACTGGGTGTGCTGGGCTGGGGCGTTGGTGGCATCGAGGCGGAGGCCGTGATGTTGGGCCAGTCCATCTCCATGCTGCTGCCGGAAGTGATTGGCTATAAGCTGGAGGGAAAACTGGGCCCTCTGGCCACCTCCACAGATCTTGTGCTGACCATCACCAAGCATTTGCGTCAGCTGGGCGTCGTGGGCAAGTTCGTGGAGTTCTACGGTCCCGGCGTGGCGGAGCTGAGCATTGCAGATCGCGCCACCATCAGCAATATGTGCCCGGAATATGGAGCCACTGTTGGCTATTTCCCCATCGATGAGAACACGCTCAGTTACATGCGGCAGACCAGTGAGTTACCTATTTAATATAGATATTGTATAGTCATGATTTTGTTTACCAGATCGCTCCGAAAAGAAGATTGACATTATCCGGCAGTATTTAAAGGCTACTCGACAGCTGCGTGACTATGCCCTTGAGGACCAAGATCCCCAGTATACGGAGGTGGGTTGTATTCAGGTTTATATTAGACAAACACACTCATCAGTCGTTTCTGTTCCTTGCAGTCCATCACTCTGGATTTGTCCACCGTGGTCACTTCGGTTTCGGGACCCAAGCGGCCGCATGATCGCGTCTCGGTCTCCAGCATGTGCGAGGACTTTAAATCGTGCCTTACCAGTCCCGTGGGCTTCAAGGGATTCGCCGTACCACCAAGTGCCTTGACTGCCAGTGGCGATTTCCAGTGGGACGATGGAAAGACTTATAAGATTGGCCACGGATCTGTTGTGATTGCGGCCATCACTTCCTGCACGAATACCTCGAACCCCTCGGTGATGTTGGGCGCAGGTCTTCTGGCCAAGAATGCCGTGGAAAGGGCTTGAGTATCCTGCCATATATCAAGACCTCATTGTCTCCTGGCTCTGGTGTTGTTACCTATATCTACGCGAATCGGGGTGATTCCCTACCTGGAGCAGCTGGGCTTCGATATTGTTGGCTATGGCTGCATGACCTGCATTGGCAACTCAGGACCGCTGGATGAGAACGTGGTGAACACCATCGAGAAGAACGGACTGGTCTGCTGTGGAGTTCTGTCGGGAAACCGCAACTTCGAGGGTCGCATACATCCCAATACCAGAGCAAACTATCTAGCCAGTCCGCTGCTGGTTATTGCCTACGCCATTGCCGGCAGGGTTGATATTGATTTTAAAACTGAGCCGCTGGGCGTGGATGCCAACGGCAAGGAGGTGTTCCTGCGCGATATTTGGCCTACCCGCAGCGAAATTCAGGAGGTCGAGCAAAGCACGTCATTCCCGCCATGTTCCAGGAGGTGTACAGTGAGTATTGCTGTCTGGAATGCTTCTGTGAGCTATATTTAATCTACCCCTCTCTATAGGCAAAATCCAGCTGGGTTCCAAGGACTGGCAAACGCTAGAAGTGTCCGATGGCAAATTGTATCCCTGGAGTGGAATATCACCTATATCAAACGTCCCCCTTCTTCGAGGGAATGACCAGGGAGCTGCCCCAGCTGAAAAGCATCGAAAAGGCTCGCTGTCTGCTGCTGCTGGGTGATTCGGTGACCACCGATCACATCTCACCAGCCGGATCCATTGCCCGGAGAGTCCTGCAGCGCGTTATTTATCAGAGCGCGGTCTGACCCCTCGCGATTTCAATTCATATGGCTCCAGACGTGGCAATGACGCTGTGATGGCCCGTGGAACCTTCGCCAACATCCGCCTGGTGAACAAACTGGCCTCCAAGACCGGACCCAACACCCTGCACGTGCCCAGTGGCGAGGAGATGGATATCTTTGATGCGGCGGAGCGGTATGCGGGCGAGGAAACGCCTCTTGTACTGGTCGTGGGCAAGGACTACGGCAGTGGGAGCTCCCGCGATTGGGCCGCCAAGGGCCCATTCCTGCTGGGCATCAAGGCGGTAGTCGCAGAGTCGTACGAGCGCATTCACCGCTCCAATCTGGTGGGCATGGGCATCATTCCATTGCAGTTCCTGCCGGGACAGAGTGCCGAAACCCTAATCTGACTGGCAAGGAGCTATACAACATTGCCCTGCCTGAGGGCGAACTAAGCCGGGCCAGAGGATCACAGTCGAGGCCGATGGCGTCGTCTTTGAGACCACCTTGCGCTTCGACACCGAGGTGGACATTACCTACTATAAGAACGGAGGCATTCTAAACTACATGATCCGCAAAATGCTGGATTAGTGATTAGTGCATTTGGTAACTTCTATATTCCATGTGCATTTTTATCGACGGTTATTTGTTATTTTGTGACGGAAAATAAAGATTGTCACATCACCTGAGAGGTGATGAAATCTTATCTTTTAACTAGGTGTTTATATTTTAAAAACAATCATACAATTTTAATTCGCTAAATCAAAAGTTTCCCCTTTTAGGGTTCCAAATAGAAATTGTACATATAGTTGCTAATAAAAGTACTACAAAATGAAACAGATGTGCCTGTAAGCTCAATGGATACGTAAAAAAGTTAATTTTGTATTTGTTTTGTTTTTAAAATACCCGTTCTTTGATTTATCGATAACAGAACCGTCGATAGCCAAACCAGTCGTTGCAGAATTGCCTAACCCTGCCGGTGAATCATCGACCGAAAATAATGAAAATCGTTAGTCGCTGTTAGACCGCTGTTAATTTAACATACTGACACTTACGTTGGCTTACGTTTTGTTGACACTTACGTTCGCATCTTCACTGACACTTACGCTGAGGCTGTCTCCCTTTTTCACTGACAACTTACGTTTACCCCGACACTACGTTTCTTACGTTTCTCCAGAGGATTTTGATTCCAATTCGCGAAGGAAAAACACAAAAAGGCAACAGATCGCGCGTTTGCCAATAACTCCACAGCCAGCCAGTGCGCGAAATATTGTTGAAAAAGCCGCGGAAAAACGCAACAACGCAGCAGGAAAGTGGCGCCTCCGCCTCCGCCGCCTCCCCACATACAAAAAAAAAGATCTCAGATCGCACAGGGTTTTTATTTTGGGCAAGCACACTTAGATCGGTGGGTGCTGCGGTTCCGACGACCTATATAGAAGATCGAGAGTGCCCAGTGGCGTCGCGTCGCTTTGGATTATGTCATTTGTTTACGGGGAATTGCCGCAGGCCCAGTAGCCAATGTTGCATCCGAAAGAGGCAGCGAAAACCTGTAAAAATGTAGACTGTGTGCGCGTGTGTGTGTGGGCCAGTGCTAGTGTGTGTGTGCGTGTGTAGTGTGTGTGTGCGGATAATGGACGTTTAGTTTTTAGTCGTGGCCTGTAAGATATATAGCGAAATAGATATAGCCACGAGATCCAGAGATAGCGTTACCGCCCCCGCCACCCGATGGCCACCTATAATCCGGGCGCCAACAGCAGTGCCGCCGACATCCTGAGCGCCACCACCGCCACGGCGACCTTTTTGGTGCCCACCAGTGCAGCAGTATCGCATCCTGGCGCACATCCTGCCCAGCTGCAGCTGGACCAGTTCGGAGGCTTTCGGCGGGAACGGCAGCTCCCCTGCAACAACAACATCACCATCAGCAGACCAACTCCTCGTACACCTTTGTGCAGATTAAGAGGGAGCCCTGCCAGGTGTCCGAATCAGCTCCAACAATTGCCACCAACAGCAGCAGCACAGCAGCAGGTGCATCATCAGGGTCTGTCCTCCGCCTCGATGACGGCCTCCTCCAAGACCATGTCCTCCTCCACCCTGACCACTCTCGTCAAAATAGAGGCACCCTCGCCAAAGGTCTCGGAACTGGAGAAGTCCTCAGGTAGGTGTCAGCCAATCGCTGGTCAAGAGTCCTCTGGCTAATCTCTATTCCTCCAGGCAACTCCGTGCCCATTGGCATCGCCGTGGCCAGGAAACGGCCGCAGGAAGCCCTGGTGCCAGCTCTAAACACCCCCGCCACGATGCCCCTGCAGCCACCACTCAACAAGGACATGAACTGCTTCGGCATACGCGTCGCTGACCTCGGTGAGTGCCAAGCTACACAGCGAGAAATGCCGCTGAATACCGAGTAATCTGCCAACCAAGTTTAATAGAAGTAAATTCGGGTATCCTATAAAATTTTAACTTTAAGTACCGAAACTAACCGAAGTAATCGGAACCCATCCATTTTGAATATGATTAGAAATTTCTAGAACTATAGAGCATCTGCCTACGGCACCAAAATATCAGGTTTACATTTTGTTTCCCTTTTTTTTACTTTTTATATTGTGTATACTGAAAGTTGTATCTCATAAAATTTGGAATTTGCATATTTTATTTGTATAACACTTAATTCTTAAATATCTCATTGAAATGCTAGAACTTTCTCCATATTATTATCCTGGGTATATCCACTTTGCAAACTCATTATCATATCGTATCATACCTTTCCCACTGTGTACCCATCTAATTCAATTGAGGCACCAGATTTGAGCGCCGCTAATGAAAGAAGCGTTCGCGTTCCCAAGGGGCAACGTTATATGATGCTTTAGTGCCAGGACGTGGACGTCGTTCAATTATGCCACTAATAAGATTGCTGGCAAACGCTGAACGTTGTGCGGAATTCCTTCAGTGAGTGAAAGCCGAGGGTGTCGCTCCGCCGTAAACAGCCCGTCAGAGTTGAGAGGGCAGGGATCATATGATGGCCGCCTGTTGTGCGGCTGTCGTTGTTGTGACAGCCACCGAATCGAGTCGATTCGACTCAAAGCGACTCTTCCTGGTTCCCTCCCTTGCGGGCTCAAGGAAACCGGTGGTAAATCATACGAACTTCTAAAGCGGAAATAAAACGAAAGTGAAACACATTGCGATTGTAGAAGGGAGGCTTTGCCTTTGACTTTGGCCGACTTGGAACTGCTCTTCTGATGGCACATTAAAAATCTTTGGGTTCTTGGGGGTGTTTTGTCGGTAAACCCGGTCGGATTCAATTTTCGGGATTATTTTTGAAGCTTGTTAATGGCGCAATAATCAACCCATAACCCTCGATTTGATTTTTTTACGATCTTTGAAAAAACAACTATTGTCGAGGGCTGTCAGATTATAAAGAAAATATTACCAGATGTGACAGTTTTGCAGCAGTTATTCCTTCCTTTTAATTCCAAAATGTTTTTTGATGTTCTCCTTTCTAGAATTCTAAAATATAAGATCTCGAAACATATAGATACATTATTGTACATTGTAATAAGAAAAGGAAACGAATATCTAAAACTAAAAAGGACTTTAAACCAACTTATTTTTAAAAACCAACACGTGTTTCCCAGAAATAGCAATGATAATAGCACAAGAAAGTGTAATCTATCTGGGGGGTTTTTATATGCATATAAAAAAACTACACGTTCAATGCTGTTATAAAAATACAAAACAAAAACTCATTGTTGCGTGTGGGGAATTTTGTTTTTTATATCTAATACTACTACGTCTTAATAAACCCGTATCTTTTCCATACTACATTTCGATCTTTTCCTAATATTTTTTATAAAAATGGCATTCTGTTAAGAGGTTATCACAAAGTCCTAAAGCGGGTATAAAAATCCAAAAGAAAGCGATGTAGTTTTGTATTTCTTATATTTAAAACTGCAGGAAAGTTTCCATTTGATAAATTTTAGGTGGCTATGCAAAGTTATTTTTGCGGTCTTGAAATGTACTTTTCATTTCTTGAAAAAGCCTTAAAAAGTTGCCAGAAGTTTGGGGATTACTCATGGTTCGGCAGTGAGCAGGGCATTGGGGGCTTCGGCTTCGTTATCACGCTCCACCGAAGCTGAAGCTGAAGCTCACGGGGGGCGGAGGAACATCAGAGCGGGAATCTAAAGACAGATTACTCATGGCCGGTGCACGGGTGGGTGTTTTTTCAGACAACTTAGCGGTGGCTGTTGCTTAGAAGTAGTCAGGGATCTGGAGGGGTAACCAGGAACATGGAGGACGGCAGCCACAAGGGATGCTCGAGCTCTAGCTGCGATGCTCGACTGGTTTCCCGGGGATGGGAAACTAGAGGAAGCTGAGTACCGTGCATGGGACAGGACCTAGCAACATGACACGCCGAAATGGACTGGGTACACGACCATATGGCAGAGTCGCCGTTTGCCAAGGCTTTGGTTATTATTTTTCCTTCCGTTCTGCCTGCTCTCGAAGTCACAGGCTATTTATAAACGTTTGGCTGGGTAGTTCCACAGCCCGATACAAATCACTTGTCAAAAGATGTAGCTCTAATTGCGTTTCGGAGATGGGACTCAGCCGAATACTTGTCATTCATATCGTTTCTGAGGTGGTGGTGGTTGCTTTCCAATACTTGGGATCCCTTAATGTAATGCAATTACAGAGCATCACGTTCGGTTTAATCGAATTTTTGTAAAATTATCCAGCCGCAGTTTCGGGGGTGGGTTAGTCCTACGATTGTGATGTGTGAAAGGTGGGTGGATGGATGGATGGATGAGTGGGTGGGTTGAAGGCGAGCGGGAGCGCGCGCGGTCACCAAATGCATAGTTCAAGGACACTGCAATATTTCACGTATACATACACATGCTCGCTTACAACTAAAGTTACACGGCAGGCCCGAAAGTTTATTAAACAAACGAACGCCGAGCAGAGAGGTTGGCAGGTCCTTACCAGAATTTTAACTTTGTTTTCGCCAAAAAAAAGCGCCAAATAATCAAGAATTCTGTTTACTTTTCACTTTTAGGTGCCACCAGTTGCGGGAATCTTTACTTTACGGGCAACGGCGACTTGATGACCACCGGCACGGCCACCGCCGAGGAACTGGCCTCAGTGCAGCAGGTGTGAACCGAGCGCCCTCGACCTTCTGGCAGTATCCAAGTGAGTTGGCCAACCCCCAATCGCCTCCAGAGCATGCCAATAACCAGATCCCCCAAAAAATAACAAGATAAAAAACAAATCAGAGCTCTCTGTCACTCGCTGTCTCCTCCTCTCTATTTTGGTTCTCTCTTTTCCGTTGCGTTTTGTAGATGCATTACCCATTGAATCAGTGATTTCCATGTCGCCCGCCACGGTGGGCCTGCAGTACTCGCGGGAGGCCAGTCGCGGACAGGTGGTGCTGCTGCCGGCCGGCCCAACAGCGCTCGGTAAGTCAGCCCGAGGATCGGCGAAGATCTCCACATACGCACTCCGCATGCCAGCACCCTCCTAGGTGTCCTAGGTTAATTTGATTTCGAAACTCGATTCGCCAAAACAAAACTAATTCATGCTTTTAAACTGCGCTTCTCTCCCTCTGCCTCCGCCTCCGCCACTCCCTCGACAACTCCAAACTCCAATCTCCAAAAACCCGAATCTCCGACTACTCTGAATCGCTACCACGCCCATGCACAGCAGGCATATCAAATTTTCCCCTCTTAACGCCCACAGATCCGTTCCAACAGGCGGCGGCTGCGGCGGCCTTTGTCTGGCCCTCGGCCTACATCCCCCAGGCGCCGGCTCCTGGTGGTCACTCCGCTGCTGCCGCCGCCGCCGCAGCAGCTGCCTCGCTGCAGCCGACGCCAAATTTGTCCAGCTTGCCCAACTTCATCTTCCCTCGATGGGCGGCCACCAGGCGCTGAGCACCACGCCATCGTATGCCTCCCTGCAGCTGTACTTGGCCGCCGCGGCCACGGCGACGGGCAGCTCGACGATGTGCCAACACAGCAATCAACAGACCAGCACCACCACCACCAATTCCACCATCATCTGAGCCTAGCCGCCGGTTCGGGGGTCACGCCAAGCGGCAACGCAGCCAGCAGCTTGAGTTCCAGCAGCAGTCTGAGTGCGAGCAGCTCTCGTTTCTTAGTTTGGCACTGGTCAGCCCGGGATTCCTTCGCTTCTCTCCCTGCCGCCGCCGGGAATGAAGGAGGAGTACTCGATGCCTCTGGCCTTGCCACCTCTAGTGCCGCTCGAGGCGGCGCGGACAAGGAGCAGGCCCTCAATCTGATGCGCCTGCCCACGCCGCCCACCTCGGCCACCATGGAGCCGTCTTCCCTGGGCCACGCGACGCCCCACCATCTCTTCCAGTCGGCTGCCATGACTACTCCCACGCCGGCATTGCTCAACCTTTCGATGCATGGCAACGGTGGAGAGCTGCCCACAGCCACGCCTCTCCCGGCGGTCTGTGATGAAGCGGCGCTAAACTACAAAATCCATGCACCGCTGACGCCGCAGACACCACCGCGTCTGTCGGAGATTCCGATGTCGGGATCGACTCAGCTTCTACCGCAGATGCAGGATGTCAATATACAGACGGACACGCCCGTTTGCAGTGAGGACGAGAGCTTCCCGGGTCCAGCAAAACCCCAGGATCCGACAGTGGAAGCCTTTCCACCCCCCTCCCTTATTCAGCCGCTGGAACTTACCAAGCCCAGTGAAGCCAGCCATACCCAGCCGACCGAGTGCCATACCCAGACCGAACCCAGTGACATACCCAGTGCCAGCCAGGAGGAGTCGGCGAGCAGACTCCCCCGGAACCCATAGAAACGATGTCCCAAGCCACGCAGGCTGATCAAGCAACCCCCGAGGACCTGACCGGCTTGGAGCTGCTCTCGAACATAAGCACCAATAGCAAGCCGATGGTGCGAGTTAAGCAGGAACCGGTGGAGCATGTGGAGCAACCGCCTCCGCGCCGCAGCCTGTGGAACTCATGCCCCCAGAGCCTACGCCGCCCATGCTGGAAATGGATCCCACGCCCGCGCCGGAACCTCTGGGTGGCCTCAAGCTGTTGTGTGCCCTTGCCGAGCAACGGATCCAGGAGGAGGTTGTGCAGGGCAGCAGTCTCTTTGCCACGCCTTCGTCGCGTACGCCCACTCCCACGCCGCAGACGCTGGGAACGACGGCCACGTCGCCGCCGGCCTTTGAGGCCAAGTCCTGTTTCGCCTTCGGGCAGTCGCAGGGTTCTGTCTTCCCCTCCTCCTCCTCATCCTTTCAGATGCCATTAAGCTCGCCCGGATTTCCCTCGATGCAGGGCATCGAGCTGCCATCTACGTCGGCTGGTGCCGTGGCCGAGCTGACTCCCGTGAAGCGCAAGAAGCACAAACATTCCAAGTCCTCGGGCAGCGAAGCCGCAAGTCGGCGCGTTGCAGCAAGAAGAGCAAGAAGAAGCGGCGCCACAGCAGCAGCCGCCAGCAGTTGGCTGCTCCGGCGGAGGAGGACGTGGATCTGCAGGACGAGCAGCTGCAGTCGGAGCTGCGCAGTGCTCTCCACGCCATGGATCCCAGCTACGCACAGCGCTTTGGCCAGGAGGTCTTTAGCATCATGGACACCAGCATGCGTATGCGACTGGCGGATGTCACGCGGCAGTATCGCAAGAAGAAGCGGAAGCTGGACGAGATTTCAAAGCACAAGAAAAAGAAGAAGTGCTCCAAGCAGCAACTCCTACTGCAACAACAGCAGGCAGCCCAGCAAGTGGTGCAGCCACCACCTGGTCTGCCACAGCCACAGATAACGCTGTCCAGTGTCCTGGGGTAAGTGGTTTATTGTTGAGGCTCAATGACATAAAGCTAATACAATTGTATTCCTTTAGAACCTCATCCCCGCTGCGCGACTACAAGTTCCCGAAGTTTTCGAGCAGTAACCTCCAGACGTCCACTTTCTTGCGATTCCCGACAAGACGCACTCGTTCCCCCCACCGCCGTCCCTGCAGCAGCCCCAACCGGAGCACAATCCCTTGCCCAGCAGCAACTCACCGAGTACCTCGTCGTTCGTCCGCCTGGAGCCCAGTGCACTGGACGCGGCCGTTGCCATAACCCCAACTACCTCTGCAACTTCCGTCTCCGGCTCACCCTCCACCAAACAGGCGGCTTCTGCGGCGCGAAAGCACGGAAGATGAAAGCGATCGCCAGCGGAGCCGCTGGAGAGCAGGCAACGGCCACGAGGCTAAACGGCGGGTTAGCGGGATTGACCGTGAACTGCAGCTGACCAGCGAGCACTGTATCGCGATGAGACCCGTGTCCTCACCGATATGGGCGGCCTTTTCTATGCGGGCGTTATGAAGCCCTTGCGCCCGCCCGATGTCTACTCCATCACATTGGACGGCGAGCGCGGCAACAAGTCGCATGTGATGTCTCGCGAGGATATACTTAAGGACACGGTGAGTGGACATAGATATTTTTATAATCTTGCAACTTTTCTGATTCATAAATCCTTTTAGATCCTCGAGGTGGCGCCGAAGAGCGTGGAGAGTGTGCCAGTGGGTACGCGATTATGTGCCTACTGGAGTCAGCAATATCGATGCCTCTATCCTGGTCGGGCCATCGACTCCGAGCAGGTGGATGATGGAACGGCCGCACCGCAACACATTTGGCTACTACAGCGCCGGACTTTGTCAGTGTGGAGTTCGACGACGGTGACAGCGGCAGGATCCGCTTGCAGAACATCCGCCTGCTGCTCAGCGATTATCCCATAGCAGGTATATATTAGTTCGCACTTTCGTGGGTATAAAACTATGTATAGCCTGTGGCTATAAAAGTTTTTAATCCACGGCCCTCTGTCCTATCATTAGTTTCTTGTGCGCGTGCCTCCTTATTTACTTCTTTGTTGTTTTCGTTGCTCCTGCCCAACCTTCCCATCCAACCCCTTGGAACAGAGTACAACGATAATCCCCTCTACTCAGTAGGCAAGCAGAAGCGAAGCGCTCTGCGCGGGGGTGAAAGTGGCCCCGGAGGAGTCACGCAGGACCACTTGAACGTGCCCGGCTGCGAGGATTCGCATAGTCATCACAGCCTGGGGATGAGTAGCGATAACACCACATCGCTGGCCGCCACTATGGAGCTCTTCACGCAGCGCAGTGAGAAGAAGCGACTGAAGAAGAGTCTCAAGAAGATGTCCAAGGCTCAAAATGGCCTTAATCCGGCCACAGCTACTAATGGTGGAGCTGATCCAGCTGCATCTGGGAGGGTGTCGGTGCAGAGGACGCCGCTCGGAAGCATCATAAGCACAAGAAGCGCAAGAAGCACAAGAAACATCACCGCAAGAATGGCAGCGAGGAGCCGGAACAACAGGTAGTTCAGCAGGACTTTTCTGCGGCAGCGCAGGAAACGACAGAGGCTCCTTCTATAGAGATGTCAGTAGCACCAGCGCCAACCACGAATCGTGTGAAGGTGGAGGTGAAAGTCAAGACAGAGCAGTTGGAGATGGAAGAGGAGACGGCATCCAATCTCATGTCAGAGATATCCGATGAGGTAGGTTGCCGCTAATTGCTTAGTATTTACCAAACATGAATGTAAGCTGCTGATAATCTTTCCGGCAATTAAGAGCTTAACATTTGTTATTTTAAATAATGGAATAACTAATATTGCTTTAGAAAAATCCGAATGATTTCATTAGCAGATTGCAATACAATGGGTTACGATAATTGCAGGGTTGAAATAATCCCATTTTTTACCCTCAGGCCAAGGGCGACGATCTGGTCGAGCATAACAACTCCAAGGGAAGTAGCAAGATAGCCGCCTTCCTGCCGGAACGGCAGCTGTGGGGTTGGTATGGTACCGCCTATCGCAAGGCGGGCGTCAAAGGACGCGCCAGAAAGCAATTTTACAAAACAATCAAAAGGGGAAAGGAGACTATCACGGTAAGGGCACTCAATTATATTTTAATACAAAACATTTTAATAACAAAACAAAATGAATTTATTTTTGTTTTTAGGTCGGGGACAGTGCAGTATTTCTATCGACGGGCAGACCAGATCGACCCTATATCGGGCGCATCGAGTCCATGTGGGAAACGACCACGGGCAACAAGGTGGTGCGAGTGGCGTGGTTCTATCATCCGGAGGAGACGACCGGCTGTCCAAAGTTGAAATTTCCGGTAAGCTAGTCCTTAAAACTATAACGAATAAGGCGAAGTTATAAACATAAATTATTATTTTATTTAGGGTGCTCTATTTGAATCGCCGCACGAGGATGAGAACGATGTGCAGACAATTTCGCATCGGTGCGAGGTGCTGCAGTTTGGCAGTTATTTCGACAAGTTTGGTGCCGATTCGAAGCAATATCAATCCATATACGATAACAATGATACATATTATTTAGCCGGGCACTATAACCCAAGGTTACAAGTGCTAAAACTACAAGACGATATTCCAACTCTCGAAGAGCTGCAGGATACAAATAATACTACTACTACTACAGAAACTACTACCGAGGATTAAGCGAAAAGTGGAAATGCGTGGTTAGGCATAGTGCATACAGATCTATATATATACAATATATATACATTATACATATATTTTACTATACGTGAACAGATGGAGAGCAGATATATACCTATATGTATACAAATATTATTTCTATATATTTTAAATGTATTATGTATTTCGTGAACTCAAAAAATTGTAAACAAAAACAACAAAAAAGGACACTGGCGAGAGAAAAAACGAGAGAGAACAAGGAACTAAGCAACAACACTAAATTAATGTGTGTTACGAGAAGCGCAAGCAATTTTAAGTCTAATTTTGTAAAAAAAAAAATGAAAAAAACAAAACATGAAAAGCGCTTCGATGACGACAAACTTAATTCACTTCAAGTTCAGCGAAAGTTTACAAACGAAATGTGTGCTTCTACATCCCCTTTGATCCTTTGACCCTTCGAACACAACACATAACAACACAACCAACCAACCACAGATAAACACAGTCCACATTTAGAACCCAAGCTATAGCTACAGATATGTGAAACACTTGTTAATTTACGTGTATACCTACATGTTTCAGATGAAATTTAAAACGTGTTTTAAAGATTTTAAGCAGGCAACATGCAGCAACTACTACTATAAATGTAACAATTCAATGTGATAGCAAAACAAAACCAGATGTTGATGTGTACAGAGGAGAGAATAAGTATAGATGATAAATGAGAGATCAAGCAGATTGTGTGTGTTGAATATTTACAGTTCGTTTATTCAAGAAGAACAGCAACGTATAAAATCAAACCTATCTTTAATTACATCAATAAACTTGCCGGATATATTGAAATCGATGTCTTTTGGATTTTGGAATGGGATGACTATTAAAAAATATATTTTTTAAGTTCGGAGTGTAAGATAGCCTTAGAAATTTAGTTCAAATAATACCTTGTATACATACATTTTTTATTTTCAACAGTTTACATACATATTATAGAGATGTGGAGTGTTCAGGCCTTGGTGGTGCATCTCTTGCTGCTGGGCTCCATCCTGAGCATCTACTTCCAATCGACCGTGTTGTCGGATCTTAATCCACTTAGTACCTGCGTGAACTGGGCTTGGAACCGCCGGCGGATCGACTGGTGGTTTTTGTCGTGGATGGTTTGAGGGCGGAGTCTGTCCTGGCACATAACTGCAGTGCAGTTCCGGATCTACGGGAGCTGTTCATCGAGCACGGATTAGTTGGCATATCGCGCGCCTGCCCGCCGACGGTAACAAGACCGGGGCACATCGCCATCTTCGGGGGATTCAATGAAGATCCCGCTGCGGCACTCACAAACTTTGGCTGGAACCCATCTACGTTCGATACCGTCTTCAATCGCAGCAGGAACGCCATTGGCTGGACTCAGGATGTGGTTGCCAAAGTCTTCACCCACCTGCCCACCGGTGGTGCCCCATTGCGCTTCGAAACCTTCTCCAGGTCGGAAATTTCGGGCAGACTACGGTTGGATGAATGGATTTTAACAAGGTACGCAACTTCCTGACCAAGGAGGAGAATGTTCGACCATTACGGAATGCACCTCGGTGGTGTTCTTTGTGTACCTAGCCGATATCGACCTGGCCGGTCACGCCTTCACACCTTACGGAGCGAGTTTCCAGGAAAAGCTGAACTTCACTCAACGGGGCATCCGGCAGACCTACGAGCTCTTTGAGAGCGTTTTCAACGATAGTCGCACGGCTTACTATTGACAGCGGATCATGGCATGAATGATGCGGGTCGGTTAAATCTTTGAGTAATCCAGTTGTTCACCTTTACCTAGAAAACTCTGTATATTTTAGGTCAGCACGGCGGTGGCGGAGATCGCGAGGTGGAAACGCCCTTCATCCTCTGGGGATCTGGGTTAAGGATGCGGCACCCGATCCCGCCAGAACTTACTGCCAATAACGAGGGACTTACTCTACCCCTGTACCAGTTGAACAGACACAACTGGCGCCTCTTATGTCCGCTTTGATTGGCTTCCAGCTCCCATGAACAACATAGCCCTGTTGCCTCTGGGATTCCTGAATACCAGCATTCAGTATGAACTCCAGGCCCTCCACTTGAATGCCATGCAGCTCTTGGCGCAGGCCAGGATTCTGATAAAGCGTCATGAGGACGGCATTCTGTATCTTGGCTGCCCAAATTTGAAAGTCTGGACTCGGCGCAGATTGATGGTTACGCGCTGAGGATACAATTTCTGGTGGCCGAGCAACACTACGAGCAGCTCTAAAGATTTCTCAGAAGACAGCCAAGGTTGCTCAGGAATGTTTGGAGTACTATCATGGGTATTATCACCTGCCCCTGCTGGTGGCCACCACTGCCTCCTATTTGTTGTGGTTCTACCTTCTGCTGGTGCAACTCACACGGGAGTCCATCCAACCGCGGCGGAGGGGATTTCTGTCATGGAGCACTCTGCTGATGGCCTTGGGAGGATTGCTGCTCCTGGAGTTAATGATCTGCAGAGGGTGCCCTACTTACGGCCTTCTACCTGTTGCTGCCATTTGGAATCCTTATCGTAGCCGTAGCTGAACGTCCTCTGGAAGGTAGTGGAGTTATGTTCCAGTTTCCCATTCTTCATCTGTGGGCATCGTTGTGCCCGCTGGCCTTTTGATACTGATGGCCTTCCACAACAGCCACATTGGACTGCTCTACTTCCTGCTGGTGTGCCTCAACAATCGAAGGGCCTTCTTCAGACCCTCCCTGAAGTTCTTTTTCTGGCTTGCTCTGGTAATACTGCTCAGTGGAATTTTGGTGGTGAAGCAGAACTCAAGTTTGGATTTCATTACCGATGCTATAGAAGATATCTGCACAAAAGCACGTGGTGTACTTCAGTATGGTGCTATCCGTGATACGTCCTCTGATCCAAGGCATCGCCATGCGAAACGAGTTTGGATCATCAACATTGCAGCTCTTCTGGCATCAGCATATGGAATCTATCAATGGGACACGGATCAGCCAGTCTGCACCTATGTTTATGCTGCATGTTGGTCGTATCTGGCCTTTGCCTTCTTATCTATCCCTTACAGTGGGACAAAGGAGCTAAGGCGCCGCCTGGAGCTGATCATTTTCAATATGCTCACGGTACACATCATGCTAACCATATCGATGGCTTCGCTCTTTGTCCAGATCATGGTTACCGAGTTTGTGCTGGGCCTCGAACTTTATGAAGAGAGCAACAAAGCGAGGGAAATTAAGAATAGAAGTTGGATGAAGAAGGAAATCAGGATGGCAACCAAGTACAAGAGGAATCCCAAATTGAAAGGCCCGTGACTCCATTGGAGCACCTTAGGCTATCTTATCGCTATGCGGCGCTCATTTTGCTGTACTTCTACGTATCCTTCTTCGGAACCGGCCACTGGTTCTTCAACTTTACCTTCAAACCCATCACCTCTCGACTGTTCTTCGCCCAATTCCAACTTCACATGATTGCGGCCTTTATCCTGCTAAAGATATTCATTCCATCGATTATCGTCATGTCGAGTATATACGCTCTGGTGTCCTTCGGACGCAAAAATGTCCGGTCCATCTTTATTTGCCTGTTCCTGATGAACGACACCATGAGCCTGTACTTCTGCTACTTTGTGAACAATCGAGGTTCCTGGCAGGAGGTCGCAATCGTTGGACCATCTTCTAGTGACCCATGTCTTTATCATTATCCTGCTGGTCTGCTCCTGGATCGCTAAGGCTTTTCTCATCAATACCACGGAAGTTAAACCACCCCGTACAGCCCAGTCCAGGTTCTTGACAATGCTATTGCCTTAGTTGGGGACAGTCAGGCCTAGCTTATCCCGAAGGATTGCCAAAATTGTCTGGTTTTATTATTAATCTTCGTTGCTGCTTAAAATTGTTAGTTATGCAGTAGTTGCAATAAATTTATATAAATAAAATATTTAAAATTGTATAGAAAAGTTGTAATATCTTAGGAAGTTACGTATACGACTAGAGGAACAACTTCCGTGTCGGGCAAACTATTAACTAGGAACACCGCGTAGAAAACTTGTTATTCCTTTCTAAAAGAGTTACTTTTTTTATGAACTGTACAAAAAGTTTTTATGGTTTTAGTTTACCAAAGTAATTATTATTTCACTTCTGCCATGCAAGTTTACAAAGTTTGCGAAGCATAACTGGCTACTGGTAGTTTAGTTGAGCAACTGTTTTGGGATTTCCAAAACACACCCGACCCCATAACCCATTTACTCAAAGGGCAGCCTGACGAATGCGTGTCTATCGATGATGTTCAATGGGCTCACATGGGTGCCAGGTATCCATAGGCTCGCCGCCCCCTATCAAATCCTGGCTCTTTGGACCTCCACCCGCTGTCAGATGCGTGCGTTGCCTGGCTGCGGGGGTCACGAGACCTGGCATCGATCCAACAGACGGAAAATTTGCATTCGCCAGGCTCTATGGGCAATAGGAAAGACGCGGGTCGACGGATATAGGGATGCGTGCCTGGGAGACACAATAATTAAAAAGCGATTTGTCTAGAAACACAGGTTGAGTTAGGGAGCCCGGGGAGCAGGGGTAGCCGTCGTTCCGCCGCCGGCGGACAGGCCCCACCGAAAATGAGCACCACCCCGAAGTGGTACTGCCGCAACAAATCCCAGCCGATGCACACGTTCGCGGAAATCGGCAAATTGGGCCTGGAGCTGCGTCGGATTACCAAGCGGATAGTGATCGATGTCAACTCGGCGATTTTCAGTGAACATGTAAGTAGTACTCATCTCTGAGTAGAATTGTTACTTCATTAGAGCCCTCTTTAGGACACCATTTTGGAGGAGTGCGAGCGGGTGGTGGAGCAGTACTGGAATCTCAAGGACGAGACGAAAAACGCCGATTTCCAGTCGCTCTCGAAGAAGATCAAGAGGAGTCCCTACAACCAGCTGCTGATGAAAAAGTTCCATTTGATTATGGATCTTAATGATAGACGATTTTGTCAGCTAACCTTTGTACTAAAGCGCACTGTAAGTATAGTGTTATACAATCCCAGATTTTAGATGATCCTAACTTTCATTCAGTTGAGTTTTCTGCTCCGCAAGTCAATGCAGTCGGAGATGTGGCTTAATTGGGCCCTGCACATCACCCAGTTATACAACAAGTGCCGCAAAGTGAAGAAGCCCTTGTACCTGCCGAAGTGGAAATCAACCAGGTGAGGAGGAGCCAGCGGATGGGAGCCAAGTTGGGGAGCAAGAGGAAGGAGGAAATGCCCGCCAATGTCTGCAGCAATATGTATCCTGCCCTGCTCTTGGCGCTCAAGAACATTGATTTCAGCTATGTTCTGCAGGTTAGGGTCCTTATAAACTTATTTAAACTCTTTTTAATGACTTATTCATATAGTTGGTGGCCCAGACCCGAGTGGAGCAAAATGCCCTGGATTTGGTTTTTGGTCTTTTTAATATGGGCGAGCAGGATGCCTGGCGGGAGCAGCAGAACCTGGAGTCCACCTCCTCCAGCTTGGAGATTCTGCGCACCCTAAACATATCCTTCGCCGCCGGCGATTACCAACCGTATTGCGACTCCGCCCAGGATTACAAGTCCATGCAGATGCAGATGGCAGATGCAAGTCTCCAAGTCCAGGATCATGACCACCAGAGCCTGCGTTGCAAGCACACGGAGAGTTTCCTGCAGAAGGAGCGGGTCTTCATAGCCCAGTTGATAGCCAAGGCCACGGAAATAAGTCCTACCATTTTCGGTGGTTGTTAAAAACTTTTTTTAGGAATATTAAAGAGATCTTATGTTCTTGTATCTTACAGATAATGGCAAAAAAGGACCTGTGGACATGAACGCTTATATTGTCAAGGGTTTGCGATTGCTCTGGTCCTATGTGGGCATTATTTTGGACCACATACTCCTCTGGTGGATAGATAACCCCGTTTCCTGTTATCGCCTTACCCATATAGACTCCATACGAAGCTGGCTTTATCATCAGAGTGTAACGGTGAGTAAAAATAATATATTTATTCAATTTCAATCTTATAAATAATTAATGTTTCCCATAGATATCCCCGAACCCGTTTTTCAACGCTCCGTGGATTGGTGAAATTCTTACCGGATTTGTTTGCAACAATATTTGGGATCAGCTCTTCCGTCTCACCCTATATCTTCCAATAACACCAATCGCTTGGTGGATGTGGTGCAGAACAATATCGCGATTGCCCCAAAATGTAATTCCGATATATAAATCTCTTAAACATTTAACTTTTACTAACAATTATCTTAGGATTTGGTACTCCAACCGGAACCGTTGGATTAGTATTTTCGCCAATCTGGTAAATCTGAGTAACCAATATTTCTCCAATTGGAGGCGCACAATAACTCCAGCTTGCTGCCAGTGGCGAGCAGATACCCATACTACATAGACTGGTGAGATCTGGAGCCATATCAAATACATTCTTAATTTTTTATTTTCAGATCATTCGGTGCACTCGATGCGTTTATGGGTCACTGAGCAAGCGAAGCTCCTTGCTGCGAGTGGAAAATGGACCGCTTTTTCAGATTCTGGAGCACGATGTCAGCTGTGCCTGAATGTCTTCATTACCTTCAACTGCCGAAACTCACTGCCGACCTGAGCGATATCCTGATGTTGGTTTGCGTTGCCCTGCGGACTAAACTTATCGCCGAGGTCAACGCCAATATAGACAAGCTTAAGGTAAGAGTTCCTGAAGATCTCTGAAATAACAGACCATAATATTATGTGGTTCTTAAACGATATGATACTAAAGGTCTCTGAAAACTGTACCATTATTAATATAATATGGTTCTTATGTACAGTTTACTTTATTGATCTTATCCTTATTTCCAGAAAACCACCGACGAGTGTGTTCAGATCCTATCAGCAGTTTGTCGGGTCCTAAGCCTGGCCAACTTTACGCTTTGTTTTCCCGCGCCAATTTTGGCAGCGCGAGTTGTACAACAACGATGAGAAGAGCCTCTATGTGGGCTATGTGCTGGACGAGATCTATCTGCCCATCATACGTGCCACCAAGGACATTGTCATCCTCAAGCTCATCCTGAACTCATCTGCGAGGCCTGGCTGGACTACATCTACCAGAAACGCATCCGTTTCAGCGTGAATGGAGCAGTTCGATTGCTGAATGATTTCGATGATGTGCGTGAGTGGATCCTGGCCTGCTCCTTGTTGGATGAGCAGCAGCTGGATAAGCTGAGAACCACGAGGTGTGCGCATGTGCAAGGGCGTGGGAAAGATACTGCTCCGTAAGCCGGAGGATGTGATCTCCATAACCCAGTCGCCCAAATTTGACAAGAAGGCGCGTAAGTTTATACTCATTTTTCAAGAAATTCGCTTCTTTCAAGTAAGGATTGTTTGCTTTTGCAGAGGACGCCTCTGCCCAGGATACCCAGCTGCCCTCGGAGATGTTCGTCTCCAATCAGAAGCACTGGCTGCAACTTCGCGCCAGTGGAGGCAATGGATTTCCTTTCCTGAAACTCTGCTGCGGAGATGCCATGTAGTTGACCTTTTTAGGGGGTACAAATGTTTATTGAGTCGCTAAAATGCTTTACAAAAGTGAGGGTCTAGAGTAATATATATTAGAAAAAGGGCAACTATGGTTATGGTGTTTCTTTTCTTGGAAAAAAATCTCCCTAGGCGGGCACCTTGCGACTAATGATCTTTATCAGCTCATCCACGCGCTCGCTTTTGCCGGCGAATTGTTTTGGATGCGGTCCAATCATTTGAATGATCATCGGCACGTCTTGCGAGACCTGAAAAATGGGAAAATATGCGATAGTTTGACAGCTGCTATTTGGGCCAAACGGAATATGGGTCAATACCTCGAGGAAACGGGCGAGGGCCTTCAATGTGCGGAAGATCTGGTCTTCGTTGGGACTGCTCTGGAAGAACTGCAGAATGGCCATAGCCAGCTCCACGGCAATGTCATCGAAAACCTATTAGGATGTATATCCTTGAGTTATATTATTATGATACTTAGGACCCCACTTACCACAGTCTTCACTTCCTTGATAGCAATATTGTACAGAATCATGCTGCCAATGTTTTTCAGCTGCGGGCAATTGGACAGGATGCAGTGGACGGCTACTTTGGTGGTCACTCGTATGTTGGAGATGGTCTGGCCATTGTATTCCCATTCAGAAATGTAGAGCAGCCATTCGGAGGGGCCAAGGTTCTCGAAGAGGTTGCACATCTGTGATGGAAATAAATATCATGAGCTGTATAAAAAGATAATCCTTAAGGGATATAGTATACTCACAAACATGGCCCAGGCCTGCTGCTCCTCGGGCGTCTGCTTATCAATGTCCTGGGCGTAGTTCATCAGTGTGTGATCCCTGCGATCCTGGTGCAGAATAATGATCACATCGTCCTTGAGCGCCGCGTAGGCCAGGGTGCGGATCAGGTGTATCCGTGTGTCCGGGAGAAGGCCTGATTGTCACGCAGGACTCGCTGCACGAAGACCAGGAAGTTGTCGCCAGCGCCCAGGAGCCATCGTCCTCGATCAAATACTGATGCAGCTCCTCCATGGCCACCTCCTCCTCCTTGTAGATCTTGCCGTCCAGCAGTTTCACTAGACTCTCTAGTTCAGTCTTTATCTGTGTCATGCAAAGATATAATATGAAATATTTTCAATGTATAATATGCACTGGGATTTATTATTTTTGATATTGATAACTTGATAGATAATCACAATTCAATATTTTAAAATATGTTATTCAATTTATGCACATTTTTGTTTACAAACAAATAGGCAAGCTTCTGTCTGTTTATATACAAAGTAATTTGTTATTATTTATTCCATCTTGAAATGGCCAGGCGTAAAATAATTTGTGTGAATATTGTAGTGGATTATTCGATTATATTTTGGCATGGTCATTAAACCAAACTCTTTGAAAATTTGCTTGTCATCTACACATACAAAAATTTTAAGAAATAATATTCACATGTTGTAAAACGGATAAAAATATAATATAATCTATTATAATAGAACTATAATAGGTAAATAGTACCTAATTTAAATGTTGCATGCAATGCTCGATAAACTCAACTTGTTTTAAATTACATTATGGTTTCCTAACATTTAATTTAGTTGCATGTATATTTTTTGGGTTTATTGTTTTGCACTTTATTGGACTTACGTCAATGTCTTTGAGGACCAGCGCCGGTTCGCGTGGGATTTCCTTTTCCTCCGTGGACTTGGAGCGCTCCTTGCCGTTCTGCGGCTGCTGTTGTTGGGCTGCGGGCTCTGACATCTTTGGTCTATTAATAGTAGGGTGAGGAAATTATATTAATGAAATAATTTGTATACTTAAGAATAAAGGAATGTGCACATATGCGGCCACAACAAACTTTGGCTGCACAAGCAGCGTCACTCGACAGGGCCATAAAATTGCAAGGCTTTCACTTTTTATTCGAAATTATTTTTTACGACCTGCTTGCGATAATGTTGTAATTTCAGCGCAATTACCGCCCAAGCGAGATGAAATGTTTACAATTTCGGCAAGAGAAATATGCGAGGAATTCAATGTTTCATATAAACAAAGAAGCGGAAAAACATTTAGCGGTGCTCTCGATTAATTAAGAAAATCGAGGAAAAAGAAAGGGAAAAGCGGTAGCCGGCGACACAATTGGTAAAGACAGGACAGAGGAAAAGTTGTCAAACCGAAGTGTGACAGTAAAACTGAGGAAAACTCAAAATAGCCATGGTATTTTTAGTTTTTTACTTTACGTAGACAAAAACAAGGTACAGAAGATTCTCAGTGGCAACACGAAATTGAATGCAATGTGATATAAACGATTTTCCAAGTTTTTCTCCTGTCCCAGCTGACAGAATTATTGTCTTTATAATCAAATTAAATGTTAGGTATTGTCATTAATTTGCATAATTTATAGATTTCCAAATTACTCACATGCTATTTTAGTAGAAGTGACACAGAAATTCCTTCACTTTCGACACCAATTCGTGGGAAAGCCAAAGAAACAGAAGTCAAAACTCAACTAGGGCACAAATTATATCTTGTTTTGTTTATTCAAAATCCGAAGACGAATATATGGTTATTTATTATCCAGATCATGCAACTTTTGTAGAACTATTCATTGAATTCCGGAGATCGAGTAGCACGCGAACCGTTTCTTTAGAGAATCGACTCGAAATTGCCTCTGTTTGTTCGGAAAAGTCCCGTGGAAGTGTGAGGAAAAGTTTCGGAAAATGCACACTCTATGGCGAATGAGCGATCTGTGAGTGTGTTTTCGAATATTTCGGATCGGGTCTTTATAAATAGCCACTCGACTCAGTTCGCTCGCGAGTAAAATGTAGCCAATGCAGCTACACCGACCGAAATGCGGGGTAATTGCTCAAGATGCTTTAAGATTTCACTAAACAGCATGTTAAATTGAATCTGCAGTGGTTTTTATTACCCTCTGCAAGGGCAAGGACCATCCTTCAACCGTCAATGCAATATTGCGTTGCGGGGGCGTCCCGGCTGGGAAAGGTCGGGAAAAACACAAAAAGCTATTAAGTGGTAACCAAAATACATTCTAGGCCCAGCTGGAGGTCCTGTCGCATTCTGAAAGCAACAAGTCTCACATTGCGTAGCCGAGATGTTGACCAAGGTCCAAGCTGGGGCTACTTTCATTTGGCTTTCGAGTGTTAAGCGCGTCGGTTGCTAAGTGGATCCTTCTTATAACTGTTTGCCAACATCCTTTTCGCCATGAGAACTTCTATTAAAATTTCCCTGAGGCTAATCGCGCTCTTGGTTTGTTTCATCTCCTGTCAGGCCACGCTGGAAAGGGAAAACGAGGGCAATAATATGGCAAATGTGAGTTCTCATTGGGTTAATTATTTCAAAAGGTCCAAGCAAATTGTGGAAAGCCATGGTGAAATTATGCATGTATTTTTAATCGAAAGACCACGTACCTACCTAACAATGTGTGATATTAGTGTGAAATCCTCCCATCCATAATCTAATTTGATAACGTACAGCTGTGCTTGAGCTTGTGTGTAGTAATTAATAGTAAATTACTATTAGTAATTATCTTAAGCTACTTATTTGTTGAAATGTTATTTGGGTTCATTATTTAAAATTCAGGGTTTTGTGCCGTTTTTTTATTGATAATATTTCTCAGGAAAATATACATTGCTAAATGGTTATTTAAAAAAAGTTAGATATTATTGTAAGGAATGCTGGTTAATACTTCTTTTATACTCAGGGTTTCAAATACTAATAAAATGTCTTGATTTTCGTTAGTTTTTAATCAAATGAATATAGAATTTATATATTTCAAACAGTAAATACATGTTACAATACTTTCAGCACAAGTTGAGTGGCGTTATACAGTGGAAGTACGAGAAGCGACCATTTTGCAATGCATTTACAGGTAGTTTCCATAAAATATTTGCATTTATAAATTCTTGAACCGGAAGTATTACAGGATGTGGACGCAAGCGAACGTACCCCTCTTATCCTCCATTTTCCCTATTCAAACGCAATGAAGTCGAGGATAAGCCCTATAACAATGAGTATTTGTCTGAGGGCCTCAGTGATTTGATCGATATTAATGCCGAACCCGCTGTGGAAAATGTCCAGAAGCAAATAATGTCGCAGGCGAAAATCTTCGAGGCCATCAAGGAAGCCAGTAAGGAAATCTTCCGGCAGAAGAACAAACAGAAAATGTTGCAGAACGAGAAGGAAATGCAACAGCTGGCGGAGCGTGAAAACAAATAAATCGGAACAATCGGATGATTGGAAATCGTATTGACTGGATAGTTACCACACTGGTTTTGTTATTGTACATAATATTATTATCTATGACTCTTTGAATTGCGAAAGATTCTACATCACTGGCATGCATTCAATAAAAAATTGTTGACCTCACTTTTGGATTTGTCTTTTTGATCTAAATTGGAATTTTTACTCATGTAAGTTTAATGACAAAAGTTATGGCAGATAATGACTATTTTAGGTTGATTTTATAATATCTCATACGACATCGGTAAAGTTTCCTGATTTCTAGTGTTTCCAATTTCACCGTTTGTACAGCTCATTCTTTTTTTGCCTAAATTAATATAGAATATGTTAACCTATGGTATCTCTTTGTGGCATTAGTAATCAGTAATCGCAGTGGGTTCTCCTATCATTGCAAACTTATGATAGCGATAAGAGGCCTCAACCATCGATTGCACCTAAAAATGATTACAAAAATATGATCAAACACAACCGGAAAAAATGAAATTAACTAATAAACATTGTTTAAAACTTTTAAATTTTAATAGTTTTTGAACGTAAGACATTTTTAAAAATTATTGTCAAAGGTTATTAAAGGACAATATTAAACACCATTGGCTTTATGATCTTGGTCCTATGATTCTAAAAACATAAGTGTTAACCTAAACTATTAAACTACATTGATTTTTCCAGCCACAAATGCAAAATGAGAGTTTTTAAAAAGTTAATTTTGGAAGTTTTACGTGCAATATTACAAAGTGTTTTACTTTTTTAATGAATGTTATCTTTAATCAAAAGCTATAAGGGCACTTAGCGGTTTGACTATAATTCAAATAATCAAAGTGAATTTATTGCCACTTAGCTAATGCATTTTATCACGGTGGTAAGTTCAGAGGGATGTGGACACTCTCTTGGACAGACGAACTCGAACTCCATGTTTGGGCATCAGGGCAATTCCGCTGTTCTCGAACTCTATCTGGCGTTTGCTCATCACTTCAACATTGAAGTTCTGCAGTATTTTGATGATCGCTAGCTTGGCGTTAACTTTACCCATCCTCTGAGCAATGCAAATCCTGGGACCCTCCCCAAACGGCATAAATGCTGTGGGATTATAGTTGCGACTCTCCTTAGAGAACCGATCGGGGTCATAAGTCTCGGGATCCGGGAAGTATTCGGCATCGTGGTGAATTCCGTACAGAGAGATCACAACAGGAGTTCCCTTCGGAATCACATGGTTGGTTTCGGGTACGGTGTAGTCCTGGGTGCATTCACGGTTCAGGATAGGAAGTCCTGGATATTTCCTTATTGTTTCCTGCACACACAGTTCCAAAAATTCCATCTTGTGCAGGGAATCGTAGGTGATTTTTCCGTCGTTCTTCTCCAGCGTCTCGTCCACTTCATCCTGCAAGCGCTTCAGTAACTCTGGATATTGGGCCAACTCATAAATGGTAAAAGCTGCAGTCGATCCAGTGGTCTCCTGACCAGCTATGTAGAATATAAACGCCTGAGCTGTGATGGTCTCCAAAGAAATGGCTTTGATATGACCTGAAAACAACGAATTTCTTAGTTTTAAACCATTATTAATACCATTTTGGTCACTCACCATCTGGTGTCTTCTGGAAACTAAAGGATTTCTCATCATTTTCCTCGATCTTGCCCGTGTTCATTAGCTGAATGAGCAACTGCAGCAGATCCTTGCGAACAATTCCGTTTTTCTCTCGGTGCTCAACGGTTTCCTTGACAATCTCCAGCATGGCCAGACCGACTGGATTTTTAAAACCAATTTTGAACAGGAACTTGGCCATCCTATATGGTAATTCATTAGATCAAATAAACCAAAAGAAGCTAGGGTTCACTTACGAGGGCAAAAGGAAGATCATCATACCAAACAAGGCATTGAATCTATTATTAGCTCTGGCAATCGACACAAGTTTTCGGAACTTATTGTCTGGGTTTTCGAAGCTGTTTACGTCCAAGCCAAAGATAGTCGAGGCGATAATGTCGATAGCATAGTCTTGCATCACTTTCTTGAGATCCACCTCCTCGAAATCCTTTTCTGGCAGATTTTTCTGAAGGAAAGCCACCATCTTGTCACCAATGTCCTCGGAGGTACTGAACATGGCCTTTAGCTTGCCTGATGTGAAGCAGGGCGACAACATGTGCCTCATTGCCCGCCAGCTCTGACCTCGTAGGGAAAATATACTGGCCGACAGCGGATCCTTCTCCTCATCGACGTACACCCCGCGATCGTGGAAGCTGGCGAAATCCTGGGCCAGCACTCGACGAGCCAGCTCGGCATCTCTGACCAGAACAGCCGGACGGAAGAGCAAGTAAATGCCCAAGACGCGCTCTTTGCTCTTCACATACGCATCGTAGATGGCCAAGCCCATGCTCTTCTCCTGCCTCCAGACGCTGTCCAGACATCCGAAGGGAATACCGGAGTGCCTGTCGTAAGGGAACCCTCTTCGATCCCAGAAGTCATAATGGTGCTTAACATAGAACCACGCCAGTGTCAAGAGTGACACGGCTAGCAAAACTAAAGAAAACATGATCAACCGACTCGACTTTTTAATATGAACGTTACTTGAAGAAAGTCTACACCCAACTGACTACAAAAGAGCTAGGTTTCCATTTATATGGGCGAAATTCATCGCGTATTTGTTCTCTTTCATATCAACGCGCTCTTTTGATAATGAGTTTTGATATGTTACTGAAAGTTCTCTTTTTTTCTTAACATGATGAAATATTCCTATAAATCTGAGCTTCTATTTTGTAATTTAATTAAAATAAACCAATACAATACTTTCAGTAAAGTTTAGTATAAAACGAATGTATGCGTTGTATTAAAAAAGGTCTTCGGATAACTTAGTTAAGATAAGTCATCCGCATCATTGATTGTACAATGATAAATTACTTGAACTTAAGCTGCATATATTTATCCTGTTTATTAGAAATTTTGACCATAGAACAAAATATTACAAAGTGAATTGACGTTTCTTCTGAAAAGCTTTTGAATTTTTTTAATTTTATATCGTATCAGCTACTAGCATTTATCAACTTGATTAAATTACAAATAAACAAAGATTTTGCTTGGGTTTCAATTTTCAAAACTCAGACGGATGGGGAAACTTTCTTGGACAAAGGCACTCGGATTCCATCCTTGGGGAGAAGCGGTGTACCAATGGAATCATACTTCTTCAGACGTTTGCTTATCACCTGGACGTTACAATTTTGGAGCAGTTTAATGACCGCTAGTTTGGCATTTACACGACCTTTTCGTTGGGCAATGCAAATCATAGGCCCTCTTCAAACGGCATAGATGAGGTGGAAGTTCCGTAAAGAGAGATCACTACAGGGGTTCCCTTCGGATTCGCATGGTTGGTATCGGGAACGGTGTAGTCCTGGGTGCATTCGCGAATAAGGATAGGATGACCTGGATATTTAAATGGTTAGGGCTGCAGTCGATCCAGTGAAGGTACTGAACATGAATGAAAATCCACAACGCTTCCAGAAATCATAATGATTCTTCAAGTAGAACCACGCCAAAGTCAAGAAAAATAAAACTAGTAGAACAACGAAAGGCATGGTTGAACTCTTCGAACTTTAACCAGGTCCAAACATAAATAAGATCAATTTTAAACTGTTGATCAAAGAGTTAGGTTAATATTTAAAGAGCAGAATTCTTTGCCCAGTGACTCTCTTGCGTCGTAGCATTGTGCTTAGATTAGAAGAGGCTTTATAGCCATTTAAGATCTCTTTAAAATATCGTGCCTGTATGAATATTAAAACGCTTTAAGAGATCCAAGCTTATTTATGTTTTGTTTACATGTCAACCGGTTTAAATAATTATTTTGTTTGTATTTGTTTATGTTACCCCATCATCCCAAATAGAACTGAGAAATTATTTAAAAAATTTATCTTTTTCAAGGAAAAGAAGACACTATTTTCTTTAATTTACATTTATTTTATAAAACTTTGAAGACGAAGACGATCTTATTGTTTGTTAAATAGGAATCTTATTTGGTAATTATGATCGCTCTCCTTGTCCTCCCTCTTTAAAAATAAATCAAATTAAATTTTAAGCCCATTTCTGAAACGGGTAGTCACTACATACTTTACTGTTTTTCATCTGTAAGCTATAGCTGTATTTTCTTAGGTAACTTACTGTTTTATCCTGTTTAGATCAGATCTCCTTATCAATATGAAGAGTTACATTGGATGTCCTATGATTTTCCTTGGTCATTACCCGCACTGAAGTGGATCCCCTGCTTATTCCTGTACTATGCAGTTCCTGCGGTTGCTTGTCCTCAGACCAGGGCTCAAAATTGAAGTGGAATCCCTCCAAATCCTCGCAGTTCACTTGAGGATTGCCTTTATCACTCAGACGCTTCATTACATGCTCTCTCACTCGGTTTATTCCGTCGGAATTGCGACAGATAATGGCCGCCAGACTGGTTTTATAAATCTCCGCCAGTTGGGCTATGGAAAGGCAGATTAATTTACTTATAAACTGGTTCTATGTCAAAAAAATCGGTTTTAGAGACCCTAACCTTTGCTGAACTTCTGTGGGCCCATCTTCCGCTCGTACCAATGGGAGTCGCCCTGTTTGAGGCGTAGGAACTGATCCGATACCATGCAGCTGAGGAGTGGACCAAAGATAGCTCCTTCCAATGGAGGCTCACTAAGAGCACCAGTGTAGACGTCCACATCCTGCGGAGATCTGAAATTAGGGAGGTATATTTAAGCTTACCCAATGGACCGTAACTTTACGTACTCATAAATCTGCATGATGGTATTCAAAGTAGCGTTGTGTATGGCCAGGGACATCTGCTCCCACGTGTCCACTGGTGGGAGACGACAGTGTCGCCGGAAGACCGGATACGAAGGTATCCCATGATCACGACCCCTTTGAATGTTAAGCGAGACCAAGTCCAGACCGCACATAGGAACCTTATCCTCGGCGGTGCCTACGAAAAGCTTCTGGGTGACCTCCAGCGAAAAGAAGCGATCCACTTGCATCACCGGCGTATTGGCTGCCGTCATTAGGGCGTGGTCGATCCCATGTTCCGACCAGAGGGAGAATGGATTGAAGAGCATCTTGTGAAGTTCTATGGCCTCGGGACTACTATTATCCCGGGAGACATTAAACAATCCCGGTAGAAGGGTGTGTGCGAAGCGGAAAGCGGCTGCTGCAAAGCAATTGGCAATACTCGGATCCACTTCCGGGTCATAGGTGTCCGGAGCATCTAGATTATTCTTGGCCGGCAGCAAACCCTTGGCCTCGCTAAGATTCCTACCAAGCAGCACTGGCAGAAACTCATTGTAGGTAATGTGCGCCATTTGGGCACCTAGAATCTTGCGAGCCTCCTGGAACAGCCGCTCATCCTCCCACTGGGGATTCTCCTCCTGCAGTTGGCGAGCCAAGTAGTTGTGATGCCTGGCCCACAGCAGATGCATGGATGTCAGCAGCAAGTTCTCATTGGCCCGATCATCGCCAGACTCGAAGCAGTACTTTCCCAGTCGAGTCATCTGCACTCGATTACAACCATCCGACGGATTCGAGGAGATGGGCAGCAACTGGCGACCATCATCCGTGAGAAACATCCGCAGCGTTCCGTTAATGAAACTGCGCAGCTGAAGCTGCCGCTGCTCCAGATTGCCGTAGACCACGGAGGCATCGATGAAGGCCGTGGCCTGGTTCAGCTGCATCCGTGGACCGAATCTTCCAGTGGGCGCTGGAGCAGACCTCACGAAGTTCATGCAACTGATGTTGTACTGTTTGTAGTACGGATCATCGGGCAGGATGTCCACGGGAAAGCATTCCGGATGCTGCTCGCGGGTGGCAGCCACACAGCAATCGATGGACTCACCCTCCTGCGAAGTGGTTAGCGATGTAGCCGTGATGTCATGGTCCATGAACTGACCAAAAACGGCCAGCATCACGGTGAAATTCGAGTCCGTCTCGTAACTGGAACGATGAATCTTAAGTGAGACCTGACGAGCCGGCGGCAGGCGTCCATGATGACTAACCCGAGGAGCAGCAATACCGTCGGCATAATCTGGAGACACCATGCGACGGTAAGGCACCATCGAGGCTCCATAAGTCCTGGGATGCTCTTTATTATTACAAACCCCCGTGGATCTTCTATAGCGGGCATTGAAATTACAATCCAAGCGTAGAACCGTGGGATCTGGCAGGACTATCTTGGGTCCCCAGCCGATATTGCTGCGTCCTGGCTGCTTGGTGTAGTTGAATCTCTTGGCTATATCCATGGTGGCCTGGTTCTCCACATAACCACGCCGTGCCAGTTTTCTTGCCTCTGGATTCGTGCTCAAGGAGCGATAGTGCCGGAAGGCCGGCGTATTTACCTCGTTGGGCTGCAAACCCTCCTCCAATATTTCCCGATCCCCTAGAGCTTTGATCCCAGCGCTAACCGCCTGGGCGCCATCGTTGTGACCTAGTGCCGCTTGTTGTAGGGCCCAATCCGCCGCCGGTTCGTCTGGCAGTGGTTTGTTGGGCGGCAACTCGGTTTCCGATCCATTGACGACGAAGAAAAAGCTGGGACCCCCATCCGAACTTACAAGGGAATCGCTGTATACGAGGGCCAGGCACAGGGCGGTAAATACAATCGCTCTGCGGTTGGGAAAGTGAAATCACTTTGTGGTTAACATGGTGTGGCTAGGCTACGACTAAACGTTTACGGTGGCTTTATAATAGGGTATTGAATATCCTGGTTTAGGGGTTGGCAAATTGATTTCTCACTGCTGTACAATTTCTCTATAAGCTACCTCTTTAAAGGTACAAAAGCCTTGGCCAGAGGATTAAGTCAAATGGTCAGATTAAACAAAAAAAATACCTATCCTCTGGGTAAGGCCAATGGTCTTTAACGAGAATACACAAAACTGTTGATAACTAGTCAATTCACTAGAAATAATTCCATTAGAAAAGGATATTAAGGTTGGGAAATAGTTCACGATGCACCGTTTTAAATTCAGCACTTTCAATCCAACTTCTATAAATGTCGGATTTATGATATTTTCGCACTCACATAAAGGTGATGCCTATGCAGCACTGAAACTGTCGCATCTTGTTGCGACGCGAGCGCGGAGAAACACCGCCGGGAAAAACGCGTTCGGGTCCTTGATACGGCGGCAGGAGGACATATCCTGAACCACCGGCAGTGGCCTCGGTAAGCGGCGTTGTTTCGTCCGTCATGATCAGAGCTAAACTGATGCGCACCGACGGCAAATGCAGCCAGCAGAGCTGTGGGCCAGGGCGACTCTAGAGTTGCCCCGAACACTTGGCGGGCTTCTGGCTCTCCGCTCGCCACACTTCAGATACTTTCGCCGGCAGCGCCTCGGTGTAACAAGCAACTTAGTTTATAATATATTATAATGCCAGCGTTTGAGCGACACCACAACAAGGCAGCCAACTGTCCACCGTCCAAGAACACCACCCGTCATCTTGAATTCTTAACGTAAACTTTAATAAATGACATTTGAGGTGCACGATTAGACTTCCATATCTCTGGCTGCCTAAACATGTCGGCCACATACTCGTAGGTCAGTTTCAGCAGATACTGGAAGGTTTCTGCTGCGGCAAATCGCCCAGCTCCACGCTCT